GCGCCCGGCCCGGCCGCCGCGCGGCCCGCCTCCCCCGCCGAAGTCCGCCGGGCCGCGGAAGGGCAGCCGGAGCCCTCCGCCCGCGCCAGCCGCCCGTCCGCGCGCGCGCCCCCGCCTGCCGTCCCCGGACAGGCCGCTGTCCCGGCCGCGAACAAAGAGCCTCCTCGCCCGAGTGCGGCTCCGACGCGCTCCGCCGAAACTCCGCCGCCTGCCTCTTTTGTGGAGGCGCAGCGCTCCGCTCGCCTCGCCCGCCCCCTCCTCCCTCGCGCCCTCCCTCCCTCCCTCGCGCTCCAGCGGCCGGGGGAGGGCGCAGCTGCTGCTGCCGCCGCCGCCGCGGGAGGGGAGGGCTTGGCTGCCCGGCCGCGCGGCCGCGAAGCGCCGCCCCCGCCGGCCCGCCCGCCCCGTCGCGCAACTTCTCTCCTCCTCGGCCGCCCCGCAGGAACTCGCCGCGGGGAGGGGGGCGCCCGTGGGACGCAGCTCCTCTCTGCCCAGAGGGCTGCCGGGGGGCCCGATCGGTCCCCCGCAGGACGCAACGGACGGGCAGCCGCAACGCGGCGCAGCCTGCCGGGACGCCTTCTCCAGCGGACCTGTGCCACCAAGTACGTGCGCGCCGTGGCCGCACCCCGGCGCCCTCCGGCTTCCGCGCAAAGCCGGGAACAAAGTCGACCAGGGCAACGAGCAAGTGCAGAGAAAACCGCACCGCATTCAGACGCGCGCTTCTTCAGAAACATCCAGTAGCTAAGCTGCGTCCCGCTCCCCCTTCCTTCTCATCCTAAATCTTAACTGCCCCGCATCCTGCCAGATTTTTTTCCCTCCCCTATCACCGCCTTTGGCTTTACACCTATCTTGAGGAAGAGTTCAGTATAGCTCTAAAGCTTGCCTGGTGTTCTTGTACTGCCTTGACACCCTGGAGAACATAAAAAGCTTGCACCATCTCCTGGACTCTCATCTGGCTCGGAGTAAAGCTCAAGTGTGTTTGGCTCATGTGTGTTTTGGATCCCCCCTTCCCATACACTGTTTCATGACATTTCAGGTGGCCTTGATAAAGGCAGTGGCTGTGTGTGGATCTGAAGACTTTTTATATGGCCAACATGGCTGGTTTTGCTTTTTCTGATATTCCTAGAAGTCTGTGAAAGAACTGCTCTGCTGCACCCTGCTGGAGAACAGCTGGAGAGTCCTAAAGCCAGCTACCTAAAAGTCACTCTCATATTTTGGCTAGAGGGAAAGCGGACGGAGAGACATTTCTCTCCCTTTCCCATAATACCCAGCAGTGTCATCCCTGAAGCCACGGCGCTCACTTCCACAAGGCGTAGCCACCGCCGCCTATCGGGATGCCTTGCAAGGGGAAGTGGGGAGGGGATCCACGACTACTGGTCCCGACAGCTGTCAGAGGCAGTACTTTGGAGAAGGCAGCTGGAGGCGCCTGTGACAGCGCCCCGTCCTCCCACACGGTTTCCGCCGGCCACTGCATGAGCAGAAGGCTGGATGTGACAGAGCCCTGGACCTGCCCTGGCAGGGCTCTTCTGCTGTTCCTGAGCCCCCGGCCCTACGCTCTGCCCAGTCACGAGCCTCGCTGGGGCAGGCCGATGGGACACTCTCGGCCCAGTCCATCTCACGAGCCGCAAACTGGGAAGGCCGCTCCTGGGAATGCCAGCTGAAACCCATGGGGTCTGGCTGAGATGAAAGGGGCACTCTGCGTGTCCAGGGAATATCGGGGGCGCTGGTCCAAACTGCAAAAGCTGGCACCGTGAGCTGGATCCAGATTTATGCCGAGGATGGTTACCCCTTTGGGCAGCCAGCGCACCTGTTTCACATGCAACAGGTTTGCTTGTGGAAGAATTAGAGGCAGGGTTGGATCCAGAGCTACACCAGATGGACTGCACAGAAGGAAGTGGGCTTCCTGACTCTTCCTCCTCATCCAGCCTCCTGGAAAAAACAGACAGTCAGGAGGTCATACTAACTGGGGGAACTGTATTCTAGAGGGGGAGGCCCAAAATGAGGCAGGGTCCTTCCTTTCCTGGAAGCAGGATTCTGGATCCAAGCAGAATAAAATGAAACACATTAAAGACATAACAATAAAAAAAATGCACAGCACTGACCTTGAAAAAGAGGCAAGGCCTCCCTGAAACAGACCAGCTGAGGTGCCAGAAGCCTGGCCAAGGAAAAACATGCTTGCCTAACGAGAAAGGGAAAACAAATTCAAACGCTCACTGTCATGAGGGGCTCCCAAGGAGCAAAGAAAGCTGCAGTTCATGCTGATGAATGTGAGTCAAAGCAGCTGTGTCAGTCTGCTTGGTTTAGTTAAACCTTTCCTCTGACATTGGGGAGTGAATGAGGGCGTCATACAGAGAGTCTGCCACCTAGTAACTTCCAGAAGGAAGAAAAATGAAAGCGCCCCAAATCCTCCTACACTCCAAACCCCATTTTGGAGAAGCTCTCAAGGGGCGTCAGGGTCCGGGGGAGACGCACGCCGGACATCGCGCCCTGAGAGACGGCCCCCCTACACCTCGCCACACCAATCTGCGCTGTTGGGTGCAGCACAGGGACAGAGACGCCACCGCCGTCACCTGCGCTGTGGAGGAGGCTCCGCGCCCTCGCCCCCTTGGCCTCAGCAGGCGCATGTGAGAGCTGTGCTGCGCTGAGCGCAGCGCTGCCACTGGCAGGGTGGACGGAGCCCTTTTCCTGTCGGGCACGCCCAGGGTTGGTGGCCCTGGACGGGCGGCCAAAGGGCAGTGTGCTGCCATCTGGGGCCCTTCGGGGCTGCAAGGGGCTGGGCTGGGCTAGAGACTCTGCCTTTTTCTTTTTTCTTTTCTTTTTCCTTTGAGCGATGGTGTTTTATTTGGTTTTTAACTTGGGATGGTTTTACCTGGGGAGTATGAGGGTGCCACCATGGGGGTGGTGATGGGCAGGGGAAGGTATGGCATTGCAGGTCTAACTGGCCAGCATAGAAGAAGGAGGGACTGATATCTGATACCCGTCCCATCTTCTGGTTACTCCCCCAACCAGAAGGATCCTGGTAGCAATGTCAGCCACCCCCTGGGCCTGACGGTGTTGCTATTGAACGCCAGGTCGGTCCATAGCAAGACATCCCTCATCCATGACTTGATCTTGGATGAGGGGGCTGACCTGGCATGTATTACCAAGACCTGGTCGGGAGAAGGGGGAGATGTCTCCCTCACGCAATAATGCCCACCCAGATACTTGGCACAACACCGATCATGCCAGAGGGGAAGGGAGTGGGGGGGGTCGCATTAATTCATTGAGCCAACATTCCCCTCACAGGGCTTCCTGTCCCTTCGAGGCCAGGTCTTGAGTGTTTGTACCCGGTGTTGGGTGACTGAGACAAATTAGGGACTCTGCTGGTGGACTGTGCACCCTCCTGCCCAGCAGACTCTCTGCCTGAGCTGACAGGGATCGTCTCAGATTTGGTATTGGGGACCCCCAGGATGTTGGTCCTGGGGGACTTCAACTTCCATGCCGAGGAGCTTCTATCCAGGGCAGCTCAGGACTTCATGGCTTCCATGGCAGCCATGGGGCTGTCTCAACATAGCACCGGCCCAACCCATGAAAGAGGTCACACGCTTGACCTGGTCTTCTCGACGGGGCAGGAAGAGGGCGGCCTGGAAGTGAGAAACTTGACCTTAACTCCTTTGTTAAGGTCAGACCACTTCCTTGTGAGGTTTGTGCTCAGGGTTGATTCCTCCCTCTGGAAGTGTGCGGCCCTATTAAGACGGTCTGCCCCTGGAGCAAGATAGACCCACAGGGATTCCCGAGGGCTCTGGGGGATTTTCCAGCTGATAAAGCTGGCATTCCTGTTGATGTCCTGGTTGATTCGTGCAATGGAGATGATCAGGGCAATCAACACGATCGCTCCTAAGCGCCCCCTCCCGCCTAGCAGAGCCCGCTCAGCACTACAGTATCCCCCTGAGTTGCGGGCTATGAAGCAGGTTGGGAGACAGCTAGAGTGCAGGTGGAGGAAATCTCGGGATGAATCTGACCAAACACACTTACACACTCATTATCGAGCCTATGCTGTGGTGGTGAAGAGGCAGTTCTTCTCTGCTTCCATTGCTTCCTCACAGTGCCGTCCAGCAGAGCTTTTCCGAATAGTGTGAGGCCTAACACATGCTGGCCAGGAAAATGATGTGGTCACACCTTCGGCAGCCCGCTGTGATGACTTTGCCCAGCACTTTAAGGAAACAATTGCTCAGATTTGCTGTGATCTGGACTCCACAGTTGATGCAGTTCCAGTACGAGAAGTGTCCAGAGCTCCGCTTGGTCCATCTTTAATGGGTCAGTTCCAGTTTTTGCGGCCTGATGGTGTGGACAAGGCGCACAAGGTGGCACATCCTACCACCTGTCTTCTTGACTCTTGCCCTTCCTGGCTACTTAAGGAGGCCAGTTACGGGATTGATCCTGGGTCCAGGAGGTTATTAATGGCTCATTGAGGGAGGACCGAGTCCCAGCCCCCTTGAAGGAGGTGGTGATCCGGCCTGTCCCAAGGAAGGCATCCCTGGACCCAGAGGTGGCTGCCAACTTTAGACCAGTGGTCAATATTCCATTTTTGGGCAAGGTGTTAGAGCAGGTTTGGCAGGAAAACTCCAGGCACTCTTGGATGAAACTGATTATCTGGACCCATCAGTCCAGCTCCAGACCCGGGTACGGTACTGAATCTGCCTTGGTCACCCTGTGTGATGACCTGTGCAGGGAGAGTGACTGGGGGAGTGCGTCCCCGTTGGTATCAAAAGCCGCCGAGAGGTCCAGGAGGACCATCGACCATGGTATCCTTCTGGATAGGCTGGCTGACTTGGGAGTAGGAGGCACTGCTTGGCAGTGGTTCTACTCCTATCTGGCCGGCCGATTCCAGAAGGTGGTGCTGGGGGACTGTGGCTCTGCACCATGGCAGCTATGCCATGGAGTTCCGCCGGGGTCTATTCTGTCCCCCTTGCTATTCAATATCTACATGAAACCGCTGGGAGAGGTCACCAGGAGGTTTGGACTGGGGAGTCACCAGTATGTTGATGACACCCAGCTCTAGCTCTAACTCTCATTTGTGAACCGCCCCGAGGCTTCGGCGATGGGTGCGGCATAGAAATGTTATAAATAAATAAATAAATTTACATCTGCTCCAGGTGAGGCGGTGGATGTACTGAGCTGGTGCCTGGCTGAGGGAATGGGCTGGATGAGGGCCAATAAACTGAACCTCAATCCAGGTAAGACAGAAGTCCTGTTGGTGGGCGGTGCAGGTCTCCAGGTAGGTGATTTTGACCCAGTTGTGGATGGGGTAGCACGCCCTCTAAAGGACAGAGCCTGCAGTTTGGGAGTACTCCTTGACCCAGACCTGTCACTGGAGTTCCAGGTGGCAGCAAGGAATGCTTTCCTACACCTTCAACTGATCCACCAGCTGCATCCTTACCTGGATGAGCACTCCCTAGCAACAGTGATGCATGCTCTGGTAACTTCCCACTTGGATGTCTGTAACACGCTCTACATGGGGCTGCCCTTGAAAATGGTCCGGATACTGCAACTGGTACAGAATAGAGCTGCCAGGCTGCTGACGGGGACCGGCCATTACTCTCACATAATGCTGGTCCTCTACCAGCTCCACTGGCTTCCCGTTGAAGTCTGGGCCCAATTCAAGGTGCTGGTTTTGACCAATAAAGGCCTAAATGGCTTGGAACCAGGATACCTGAAGGATTGTCTCCCCTCATGCCCCTTAAGATCTGTGGGAGAAGCCCTGCTCTGGGAACCCTCTCTAAGAGAGATAAAAAGGTCATCAACTCGGAGTAGGGCCTTCTCTGCCATGGCGCCCAGACTCTGGAATGTACTTCCCAGAGCGGTAGGCCTGGCGCCAAGTTTATATTATTTTCGACACCAGGCCAAAACCTTTTTATTTAAACAGTATTTTAAAATTTAACAACTTTTAACCTTCAGTCGCTCTGTTTGTGATTTATTGTTTTGTTCTGTTTCTATTTTTTATTAGAAAATGTTTGTTTTAATTGTTCTTTTAAATATTGTAAGCCGTCCTGAGATTTTTTATAATAGAACGGCATGCAAAAGCTTTTAATCAATAAATAAATAAATAAATAAATGGACAGCTGGGTATCAGATCAGGGCACCAGGATCCAGACAACTGGCACAATATACCAGCCCATTCCAAACCATAGTCAGGCAGCCCAGAGATCAAGGTGGGAAACAGAAGGGCAAGGCAGGCCAATCCGAATGGAGCAGAGCAGTCTGAATGCCAGTCAGGAGTCAAAAGCCAGAGAGACAAGCCGAGGAGAAGCGGGTACCTGGAGCTGGAGCAGGTGAAGCCCGGCATGGTCAGAGGCAGAGGCAGGAGCAAGGCAGCGGGCAGGGTCTCCAGAAGTGGGTTCCAGAAGGCACAGGGAGCTCCAACTGCACCAAGGCCCTTGGCTGCTGAGGCCACGTCTGAAGGGAAGAGCCGCTTCTGAGCCCCTCCTCCCTCAGGACTCCCAGGTGGCGCCCAGGGCTGCTATTCTGGTGTCTGGCCAGAAGAGGGAGCCCTGGTGCTGCCTCAGATCCTCGCAGTGGGTGGGGCTGCACACCTAAGTGCAGTTTAGCTTCCAGTTCTTTCTGCCAGGAAACAGGCCCAAGAGGGGCACTTCAGCCTGCAAAAGGGTGTGAGTGGAGTCTGCACTCCCAGTCGATCAGGGACAGGGCCATGGCCATGTGAGGACTTCAGATCAGCCTCTCTGCATTAAACAGATGGCAACAAAGGAACTGGGAACTTCTGCGAAGCAATGCAGCTCTGCTGGAGCCTCTTCGCAGCCCACCTTCTGTTCCTACCGTGGCCACCAGCCTGCTCCAGTGCAAGATACAAGCAGGGTGTGTGCCACAGGCCCCGTGGGCAGCCCCCTGGCAACGGGGGTGCAGAGGCAACAGGGGTGCGGCATCTGCCATCCGGCCTGTATGGGCCCACTGCCCTTTCAGAGCTCTGCAGCTAGCAGCCATCGTCACACCCTTGCAAGCAAACCTGTGTGTGCTGCGAAGAGGCCCTTCTCTGCTCCGTCCTGGATCTCCCACCATCAGCTCTGCAGGAAGATCCCCATTCGGTGCCAGTCCAAGACCTTTTTATTTAAACGTTATTTTAATGTATTATTATTTTATTTATCGATTTTATATTTATGCCGGGATGTCTCCAAATTTTTTAAGTATTTTTATGTAATTGTATACTTATTTGTATTAGAAGCCGCCCCGAGGCTTTTGCGAATGGGGCGGCATATAAGTGTTCCAAATAAATAGTCTTCGTCTCTTTTGCGAAAGCAACAGTTCGCCTGTGCCGAGCGGCATTTCGTCATCCTGCTTCCATTGCTTTCTCAAGCAAGACTCCTGAGCTCTGAACCGAAGGAAGAAAGTGCGGGGGGGGGGCGGTTCACCTGAGAAGGCCTCCTCCAGGTGCGGGAAGCGAGCGACTGTGCGCGGTGCCTGCCCGGTGTGGGGCGCCCGGGCACCTCCCCCGAGAGCCGGCGGGGACAAGGGCCGCCTCCCAAGACGCAGGCGCCGCCCGGCCGCGCAGGCTGCCCAGCGCCCCTTCCCGGGCAGGGCCGGCGGGGCGCCGAGGAGCGCGGGGGCGGCGCTCCGGCGAGCGCGCCGAGCGGGCCGGGCCGGTGACGCGGAGCTCCGCCCGCCGTTGATGCGCTCGGCCCTGCGCTGCCGTCGCGTGGAGACCGGCGGCGACGCCACAACGCGCCGGAGGCGGAGGCGGAGCGGAGGGAGCCGGCCAGGCAGGCGGCCCGCGGCCCCCGCGAGGCGGGGAGCCCGCCAGGCCTGCGCCTTCGCCGACCCCCCCCCCCCCTCTTCTGCCTTCCCGCGGGAGCGCGCAGACCGCGTGCGGGGCGCGCCGAGAAGCGGGGCTCGCCTCCCTCGGGCCTTCGGCGGGGCCCGGCCGGAATGACAGCGCGCGGCCCGGCCGGAATGACGGCCTCTGCGGGCGGCCAGGGGGCCTCTCTCCGCCGGCTGCGCTGCAGGTTTCCTCGCCAGCGAGGCGGCGCCCGCGCGGCCCGGTCGGTGGCGAGGAGCAGCAGCAGCCGGGCCGCCATCCTCTCCTGACGGGCGCGGTCCCGTCCTCCGACCCCGCGAAGCAGCGCGCGGCGGGAGCACAGCTGGATCCCTCCTCCTCCTCCTCCTCCTCCTCCTCCTCCTCCTCCTCCTCCTCCGGCCCGGGAAAGGCGAGTGGCAGCGCCAGGCCAGCTGCTGGGGCTTCCGGGACTCCTGTCCAGCATTGCAAGACCCGAAGCGGCCCCTCCGGTGGCAGGAGGAGCGCTGAAAGCCAGGCAAGAGAACACGCCGGCAGGGGGCGCCCGCGCTCAGCAGTGCAAGAACTGGCGCTCGGGAAGGATGGCTGCGGGGAAGGACCGACCCGGATCCTGGTGGAAGGAGCCTCTGTGCTAAGCGGGCGCGGAACCCGGACTGGCTCCTAGAGTTCCCGCAAAGGCGCACGTTCTGGGAAGCTCCTCTGCTGCGGTGCCGCTCCAGAAGGCCTGCTTGGTTTAAATCGCCTGGAGACCCGTGCCACGCCTCCCCTGCCGTTTCCAAAGGCTCGGCATCGGAGTGTGGCTTTCCAAAGCCCTGAGCCGCTGCCGGGGCACAGCGGCAGCAGGACATCCCACGCCTTCCCCAGCCAGCGCCCGCGGGAGAAATGAGCGCCTGCCCGCCCCTGGCAGAGAAAGCCCTCTCGGAGGCCTATGCCCGCCTTCGTTACAGGGACACTTCCTTACTTATCTGGCAGCAGCAGCAGCAGACGCTGGAGTCTCTCCCGCCTGGAACTTACCTGAGTCGGAGCCGCAGCATGTGGTACTCGCAATACGGCAACCAGGCGATCCTGGTGCGAGACAAGGACAAACTGGACGTTTCCAGGGACACGGGGCAGTCCAAGTTCTGCTCGGTCATGTAATTTCAGCACAAAGGCTAAGAAAGGGACATAGTTCAGTGGGTGCACCAGAACAGTGTCAAAAAGTGGTTTTAAGATGGTTTTAAGACAGGATTTCGATTGCCTTCTTGGTTAGTTCTGAACATTTCCAGAATTATTTGGGATTTTTTTCCCTTCAATTTGGCCGGGGCACTGTGCAGCCCTGCTGCGCAGAGACGGACAGCTTCGTTCAAAGTCTTTCTCCTCGGCAGCTTCAAAATAGGAGGCCAGTCGGACCAAGAAGGATGCCCATTTCCAAGGTTATGCTGAAGTGCTTGCTGGAGTTACTAAGCCCGTGTGTGCGTGTGCTGAATTTTGCAATGTCAGGTGGCTGTTGTTGGAAAATAAAGGGGCTGGTGAAGTAAAAGGCTGGTGTTGTATGCAGCACACCTGGGGCTTGCACAAGTGGAAGGCACACACGCGCAGGCACTCGTGTTGGCGGGCTGCAGCCCGCACGTGCTGCGCTGGGCAGGGTTCACTTGTAAACATCCGTGGAATCCCTCAAACTCCTCTGGATGAGAAGGCTGCAGAAGGGCTGGGGAGACACACACATCTGGGTGCAAGGGCATTCCTACCCGCTGTGTGCTTGTCCGTGTGTTACGGGAACTCGTAATTCCCAGGGTGGGCCCACGGCAGAAGCTGCGTTTCACCGAGCCAAGTGGGCACAGAGTGCAGGTCTGTGGCCACTGGGATGAGGGGCTGGTCCGGTGGGGCTTTGTTCCCCCTCGCACCATCTCCTCCGGATGCTGCCAAGGACCCTCTGAAAGGGTTGGGCCAGCAGGGCAAGGTGCTCCCTGGGGGCTTCTCCAAAGGCTGGGTCCATGACAGAGCCCAATCTTACCCATTCACTTTGCCCCCTCAGTTGGCCCCCAGTGGCCGGCCTTGGAGACTGACTCCTCTTTTAGCCCCAGGACCAAACTCCATTTTGCCAAAGCTCTTGGGGTGGCTTCTGGTGGTTGATGGGGTGGCGGGCAAAGGGTCTTTCGCACTTCTGCCAGGGACACTCAGCCATAAGGAGACTCCAAAGGGATCTGTTGGCGACATGCAGGTATGTGAGGGGGTGTCACGCAGAGGTGGGTAGAGACCTGTTCTCCCCTGCAGAGGAAGGCAGGACGCGCTCCAACAGAGCAAAGCTCAGGAAACGAAGGTCCGACTTAGATGCCAGGAAGTCCTTGGCCGAGGGCCCCGAGGGCACAGAATGGGCCTCCATGGGAGGTGGTTGAGGCCCCATTGGTGAGCGTGTGCAAGGACAGGCTAGACATGCACATGGTGGGCGTGTCATGAGCGGAGTCGACTGGCGCCAGGGGTCAGACTGGATGGCCTGGGAGACCCCTTCTGACTTGCTCTGTTCTTGTTTCTGTGACTCGGTCTTCAGCCTGGGTGAGGGGGCACACCAAAGCCAGGCAGGACCCGCGAGAGGCAAATGCTGGTCTGCTGGGCGAGTCAGCTGCTTCAAAAATGGAATAACCCAGCGGAAGGGGCTGAAGTCGGCAGGCACCGTGGACCATCCCCTCTGTGCAGCAGATGCAGGGAGGGGAAGCAATGCAACAACTTGCTGCCTTCACCACAGCGGGATTCTTGAGAGCGGCGCTTCTTGAGGCACAGCGGGGTCTTGTGCCTCCTCTCATATTCTCCAGGTGGCACCTTAGAAGCATGGCAGGTTCTGCCTCAGTGAAAAATGTAAGCACTTCAAAATCAGCAGTGCCAGGGAGTGCAGATGAGCACCAGGTTGGAGACCTTGGAGAGCCGAGTTCATATCCCACCATGGAGCTCACTCAGTACAAATTCAGCCAAGTCAGTCAGCTTTTCTTAGTCCAACTGCTCCCATTTTGTGTGGCCAATGCTATTTTTCAAATGGCTTCTGCTTCCCAGAAGACAGGCAGGAAATAAATGGGTAAGTAGGAATGAATTGATAACGCATTCCTTCCACCAGCAGAGGTCAACAGACCGCTCCAGCTTTGGCTGCAACCTGTCAAGATCGGCTCTCTGTACCAAAACAGGTTTAAAGGAGAAAATTCCTTCATCACACATTTCTGCCTGTGAGATTCAAAGCATGGGTAGTACAGAAGTGCCATTTGCTCTGAAAATGTCTTTGCTCCTTTATTTTTTTTCAAACTGTTCTACTTTAAAACAAGTTACAGAGAAAGAGAAAAGGACTAGGAATATACAAATAAAACATGCTTTATCTGGAAGTTACCAATACCTGCAAGTCCAAAGTCTGTACAAAAAAAGAAACCAAACAAAACCCAAAATAATCCCACCCCCCTCCCACCACAACTGAGTACACATACAAGGTATAAGCACCGGCACAGGAAACTATCAAAGATCTGTAGCACCTGTTGGTTAAAAAGTCAAATACATTTAAATAAAAAGGACTCCCAATTCTTCAGAGCTTGGTTTAAAAAACAACACAAACCTGCATTTTTTTCTCTGCTGCTCATCAAAATGCAGGATATATGTTTTTCAGTGAACAATGATGTTAATAAATAAAGTATTTCTATATACATGAAAACAAGGGACAGTCAATTCCGGAGTGTGTCATTGCAAAAGTGCAGGTCTCCAGGGCAGGCTGGAGAAAAAATAGCTTTTAGAAAATTGATGATTCTTACAAAAATGGTATACCCCCTCCCCCTCCCCGATAGTGTATTTTCCCCCATACCTTGAGGTAAAAGGTTTGATTATTTGGAAATCTGCACTTGCTTGACACACGAGTAACCTTCCATTCCAAGAGCTTCCTTGCTGGTACAAAAAGATAGAAAAGGAACAGCGAGTCGACTGCTGTCACCGGCTCACCCTGTCCTCAGCCCCATGCCCCACAGCTGTCTGGAAGGAAAGCCCAGACGAGAAGGCGGCCACCCGGCAGCTTGGCCAGCAATCTTGCCCATGTCCCACAGAGGTGCTGCTCTGGCAGAACCCCGCGACAAGCCTCTCTGCTCTGCTCTGCTCTGCGGGGCCTGCCTGTGAGTCTCGTGCATTTAGGCCGCAATTCTGCGGGCTGCAGGCACCACCGAGGCAGGATGGAGGCAAGGAACACCAGAACGAGCCATCCTGCCCAGCCTTCTGTCGCCCAGGGACCTACCAGGGCAGCTGCCAGAAGCCCTCCAGTCGGAAATGAATGCCACAGCATTCTCCCGCCCACATTCCTCAGCAAGTGCTGCCTGCAGGGACACATGGCCTCTGACCTGAGAGGCAAGACAGAGCTCCCAGGAGGCTGCTAACAGCCCACCCTGGACTATGTGCCAAGGGACCACCCTCCCTTGTGCCACTGCTGATCTTGGGGGAACACACCACCGCTCCTCCCGCCAGAGCCTGGGTTCCTATTTTGAGCAGGATGCTCCACATGCTCCCCTTCTCTCCACTCCAAAAGGAGGGCAAGATCACAAAGGCTGTGTCACAGCAAGACCTCAGGACCTTGAATTCCAGGTTAGCACCTGCAAACCGTAACTGACAAACTGCCTCCCTGACCTGGCACCCTCCAGATGGGTTGGACTGCAACTTGCATCATTTCCAGCCGGCATGGCTAGCAATCTAGGTTGGCTTCTCCTCCACGATGAAACAGTACCTTCTACCACTGGCATTATGTCCGTGCTGAGACAACATCTCTCTGTAGCTGCAGTGGGAGACATAATCCGGTAGTCAGGAACAATGTGTCCTGCCCCCGGCACATTTGGAAGGAGTCGGGTTGAGGGGCATTCTCTGATGGAACCTGCTCAACAGAATTATGTTTCTCTACTGTGATGGCCAAAGAAGACCACAGTTGTGTACAGAGAAACCCTTAAGCACAAACCCTTAAGCATTTGCCAAAGGTCTGCAGGAAAAAAAAGTATCTCAAGATGCTGGAAAGGTTGGCTTTATTTAATAAAGTCCAACCTTACATACCATAATCTTTTCCACCATCTTGAGATGTGCCCTCCGCTATGGATCAGAGGAAGAGGTTCCCCGGGGGGTTAAGGGCTTCTTTGTCTGCCCCTCATGTCACTTTGGGCATAATCTGAAGGCTTGCAGGCAAGTGCCAGCCTGCCCTCTTCTGTGAGTGAAGTCAGGCCCCGGGGCACATGTGCGCCAGGAAGCCAATCCTGGCCACTAAAGGGTTCCTGCTCCTACCAAAGGGGCCACGCACCTCAGGCCCCGCGCTCTGCTTGCGCTGTACCTCCACAGTGAACAAATGGATCCCAGCCACCCACCAGCGTCTAATCTGTCAGCCAACCCCCGAGCACTTTTCAGAATGCAAGTCCAGTGAATCTCAGCATCAATATTTTTCAAAAAAGAAAGATAAAAAGAAATGCTAAAAAGATACATTAAAAACAATCCACAGTACATGAGCTTTCTTTTTTCCTTCCCATATATATATATACACAAACACACACACACACATATATATATATATATAGGATAAGCTTCATCACAATCTAGATGTAGGGCCCAATCCACCAGGAAGTTCTCCTGCACAAGCCCCTTTGTAGAAATAGATAGGAGCGTCCTTCCTTCCAAAGTGGGACTTGTGCGGGAGAACACCCTGGTGGCACAGACCCACAGAGGTTAGGAATACTAGTGCTAGGAACAAATACGCTGACTACTTCAAAAGCTAACATCTTTCAGATACAGTACCATTTTACAGAGAGTTCTTATCCCTCCCACCCCACATGTTAAAAAGGACCCCAGTACCCTCTCTGCTTCGTGCTGTGATACACGTGAGTCAGTCCTGGGCTGTATTAAAAAGGAAATTTTCCAGGGAAAGAATGCTACCAGAATCCCCCACACCCCACCCAAACCTTACACCTTGCATATAATCCCTACTGATTTCTTATTTGGAGTTTTTCTCATTGGCTAGCAAATCATCTACATTTTTTAATTAAAATAAGTTTGCAGACTTTTAAAGGAGCAATCCTATGGAAGTTGACACAGAAAAAATGGCCTACATCACCCAGCATGCACCAGCCAGCTGTGCTGGGCAAGGTGACCCTTTTATTCTACCTAGACTTCCAGAGGGCTGCACCCCAGTTGAACTAAACTGCTCATCAGCAAATCTAGTGATTAGACACACGCACACAGAGATCTTTGACCTAATAAAAGTGGGAGGAAATTAATTTAGGAAGGTATCTTTTGGTAACACTGGATTTTTTGTTTAAAAATAAGTTTAAAAGAGCTGGGGGGTGAGGAAGCGTAGAACTGGTCAGGAGAGAAAAGCGCAGACCACTGGTAAAAAAAACAACAACAACATGAAACTGAAGGGAACGACGCAGCAAAGCTTCAGGGGCAGGTGTCGGTGAGACGTCCATTTGCTGTCCAGGTGCGCTAAAAGCGTCCATCGCTTATTCCGAATCACTACTGTCCGAGCTGGATCCGCTGGAACTGCTTGTTCCGGATTCCGAAGAGCTGCTGCTGGTGAGATGAGAAGGGCCGCCGGAGGGGGCAGAGCCAGATTTTTCTAGTAAGGGAAACACAATTATGCCCGATTGACCTACCCAGGCCTTGCAGTGAGCCCGAGGCCTTACTCCAGGCATCCTCTCCCAGGGAAGAGGCCTCTTCTGTGGCAGCTCCCCACAGAGACCAGCCCAGCGCCTACTTGGCCACCTTCCGTCCGACTGAAGACTTTCTTAACCTCCCAGGCATTTTGAAAATGGTCACTGTTGCGACTATTAATATTGCCTCCACACATATAATACTGCATCAGGCATTTCTATCCTGCCATCTCTCCTCCTGCATGGAACCCCGGGCGGCCTATACGGTCACCCTGCTCCTCCCCATTTTATCCTCACAACCACAACTGTGGTTACTGAGGGGAGATGAACCACACTAAAAAAATAAATAAGAACGCGTCATTCTTTGAAAGCAACTCATCCCCTAACTATGATTACAGGCTGCTGACTTTGGTGGGGCCGAACTCCATGAAGTCCATCTTTCCATCCCTAACTGTGGGTGTCAGAGAGCAAAGGATACCTGCTCAAGAAGCCATAATCACAGGATTCCCAACAAGTTTCCAGTGTCAGGCAAAATGTGCAGGTCCTCTTCCGCTCAACTGTTTTGTAAGGGAGTCCGCTCCCACCTCCCACAGCGATGACTGACATACACATTCTCTGGAGAGGGAACGTCCTGGTTCATTTTTAAGCTGTGATGGGCTGTAGTGTGTCCATTTCAAGCAGCAAAAGCAGGAAGGAGTCCAGGCTCTTTCTGGCTTGGACTTGATTTTATTTCCCAAAAGTATGTGTAGAAAAAAATTAAAAATGTCCCCAAGTCACAGGAGCTCACTGTTACTAGGACTCAAAGGGGGAAGACCACAAAAGTGGGTCTTCTCAAGGGAGGCACCCAGACGAAGGCCTCCTGGGAATGCCTGCTCGCCCAGCTTCCTCTGGCTTGGAATTAACTGCAATGAATTGCATGCGAAGCCACCTCATCCTTCTTTGTACTGATCTGTATTGTTACTGCAGCAGGAATTATTTTATGTCCTGTATTTAAAAGTGACTTCTACATGAATGGCTTCGAGATGGTATTAAGTGGCATATAAGCATGATTAATAAATAGGGGGTCATCCCAGGAGGATGATTTGTGGGAGATGCAGGCAATCTCAGTGGTGTCTGCCTGCTCCCCATGCAGAATTAGATTCTGGCACCGGCTGCCTCAAGGTATCCTAATGGCCCTCAGTCTGGATGGCTTGCAAAGGGGACTGGACAAATATTGCAGCAGGCGGCCCACGGCTGCTAGTCGCAAGGGCTCTGTTCCACCCCCAGGATCAGCTCTGTGCCAGCCGCTGTCAGACATGGCGGGAAAGGGCTGTGGCCTCTCCTGTTTGGCTTGGGGTTTCGGTGGGCAGCTGCTGGGGTCAGCAGAGAGGTGGACTAAATAGATCTGGGTCTGAAGCAGCAGGGCATGTGGCACATGCCCTTTAAATCTGCATTCTAGGAAATGCAGGAAGGAACGTCAGGCAGGGATGAGTAGAAGTTAGCCCCATTCTCTGATGACCTAAATTTTCAAATTTCGAGATTTATCTGGAGAAAAAAGAAACCAAGGATTAAATTAAAAATGCTTCAGGAAGCTAAAAGAAATGGGAGCTTCCACGAACTGTTGTATTATCAAGCGTCTGTTTTAACTTGGCTAAATGAATGGATAACTTTGTGAAATAAGAGAATTTTGTATCTTGAAGGTCATGACTTGCAGATGGGTTGGCGTGCTTATATGTGGTATGAAAAAGCTAAGTCACATGGGTCTTTTCTGAGTCATTTTATTAGAAGATCTTTAATGTCAGTGTGGGAAAAACTAAAGCTAAAAGTGTATAATAAATTACCAAGATGGCTTTCACCTGTGGAAGCTTTTGTATATCCAAATGTATTGAACTTTGAAAAGATCATATCTTGGATAAGGATGGTGGCCTGAAACTGGAGCAAGAAATACGAGAACAGGGACTTAATATTTCCTGGTGGTATAAGGTGCAGATGCAATCGAGATATGCTAAGACTGTAAAACATGGGGGTTTTACAAAGACCTAACAGAGTTTGATCAAGTGATGCTTAAAACAGATGAGAAAATTATTAAGACTATAAGATTTTTTACTTGACAGGAAAATGGAAGGGGAACAGGTTAAGGAAACTATGATAACATGAGCACAAAACTTTGGATTTAATGTTGAACTAGAAAAGTGGCAAAAACTTGGGAAAGAAACATTAAGGTAACATTAGGAACTTTGTATAATTTATATAAAATGTTCTATAGATGGTATTTGTCACCAAGTCGATTAGCTGAGATGTTTCCAAATATGTCAAATAGATGTTGGAAATGTAAACATAAAGTGGGTACTTTCTATCGTATGTGGTGGACTTGTGATAATGCGAAAAAGTATTGGATTAAAATACATAGATGGATGGAGGAAATATTACAAAAACCCTTTGCTTTTAAACCTCAAGTTTTCTTGTTAGGCATCATACCAGAAGACGTTGACAGACAGGAAATGTACCTGATGCTGCACCTAATCACAGCGGCGAGGATTGCATTTGCTCAATATTGGAAAAGTGAGGAGCTACCCACCTATGGATTGATTGTAAGAAAGATCTTGGACTGCGCAGAAATGGATCGACTGACTTTATCATTGAAGGAGAAAGAGGACACTGATTTCTATCGAACTTGGAATTCTTTCTATAACTGGCTGGAGAAACGGGACTTGGCATAAACTTAGAGATGTTTTCAAATTATTATAAATTGATTTGAATTTGACTTTAGAATGTTAAAAAATATGTAGTAGGGGGTTGACCCAGTAAATCCTATGTATGTGATGTCTGATGTTTTTAGTGTTAGTTTAAAATGTTAATAAAAAATTAAAAAAAAAAGTTAGCCCCCAGCTTTCCTGACAGCTGGCCCTGCTGACAGGGCTTCCAGGAACTGGAGTCCAAAGCATCTGGAGGTCACTTCCTTCTCTCCCTGTGCTAGAGGCCAGTGTTGCGGCCCAGGTGCTGTGGCTATGTCAGAGTCACCCTGCAAAGTCAACCGGGTTCATTCTGTCCATTTTGCTGGGGGAGGCAGAACTGAGCGTGGAGCACGACAGCCTTGCGGAGTAGTCACCTCAAAGCTGCCATCTAGTCTCCTGGCATGCCTGTTTATTATTAGGGAAATGCATGGTATTCCAGCATGGGGGGATGAAGGGGGTCCTCTCCGCCTTTCCTGAACACTGGAGGTCTCTTGTGACGCAAACGGCTTTTCGTTGCTCACTCCAGGTGCGCCACCTCAAAATGCTGTGCAGTGCCACAGGGAAGCAGGAAGCACTTCCCTAGCTCAGCCCTGGGGCAACAGCCACTGACTGAGAGGCCACTGCCAGCATCCCCGCTGTGAAGAAAGGGGCGGCGACGTCATCTTGCTGGGCCAGCCACCACTGCAGCCCGGGGCTTCCGAGTAGGGGGCTACCATCAACCCTGGCGCTAGGAGCAGGCTCAGCTCCCTACACCTCCCATCCACTTCCAAGGAATGAAGCAAACGGGCCATGGCAGCAGGGCCACGGGGGGCAAAAGCGAACCGGCTGCCCTCCGCCTGAGGCAGCTTTTGCCCCTGCCTCCCTCCCCGCACCCTCTGCTCGCACGTGGGAGAAGTGCCAGCGCCGCCGCCCCACACGCCGCTGTGGCACAGGTCACCTTTCTTGGCAGGTTTCTTGTTGTTGTTCAGCTGCCCACTCACGTCCTGCAGCCGCTTCTCCAGCTCCTTCTTTTTTTCCTGAGCCATCTCTTCCTTAGACTTCACTGCTGGCTTCTTCGCACTGGCTGCTGTGGGGGAGAAATGCGCAACTGCTGAGATGGGTTGGAGGGGGAGGGGAGAGCCAGCACCACCCCGAGTGGGAGGGCACATTGCCTCCACCCATCTCTCCCAGAGGGTCGCTCATTATCCTGTCCATCCCCAAGGACTGGGGGCTGTTTTGCTTGAGTCCCTCTGCACTAGAAAAAATGTTCTGGTGGTTTAAGGCAGGGGGCAGAAATTCCAACTTTTTTCAGATGCCATTACAAGTAACTTAAATCCTTTTGGTTCCCGTGGGATAGAGCAAGTGTGGACAAATTTCTTACCTCCGCAAAGGCCAAGGACAGAGTCCACCTGTGCCCCTCCCCCACACCTTACCCCATAAGCACACATGCCCGAGGACTGCAGGAGAGGGCCGGTTCCCCCACTCTGGCGGAATCCAGCAGCGAACTGCCCTGCCTGCTGCAAAGCGCTTTCCAAGCCCCAGGGCAGAGCTCAGGGTGGTGATCTTCACTGGGATCGCAGTGGCAGGAAAAGGCGAGGCCTCCCCACGATCTCCTCTGCCATTCAGCTGCTTGCTGGGGGCAGCTGCAGCAGGCAGAGGACCAGAAGATCCCTCTGCAGCTCAGCCTCCTTCTCTCAGCTGAGCTGCACGGAGAGAGTGTCTGCTGAAAGCACTGAAGTGACAGCACCTGCACTTCTGCAGCACACATCTCCTCTACCTGCTTGAGCAGGAAAGGGGAGGAGGAGGCCGTAGGAGGCATTCCAGGTAGGAGGCAAGATGGGCCTTGGTGTTGCTGACTTGCTGCACTGCAGCTGGCATGGGAGGCCCAAGGGGTCCATTTCATCCTGGGGAGGAGGAGAGACGGGTGCTCATGCGGCAAGCCAGTCTTGACACTCTTCTGGCCTCCGCGGGAGGTTGCCTGCCTGCTCTGAAGCTGCCAGAGGAACATAAAAGTGTTCTAGCCCAGCCGCACCTGCTCCAAATGTGGAAGGGGGGTGCTGGGCACGGGAGGGCAACAGTTCAGGAGAAAGCTACTCAGTGTACACGACAAAACAGTGGAGGGCATTTTTTTTCTGCCTGGATAGCAAATCTGACGCGGACTGGCCACTGGTGTTGTGTATTACTATGCAACTGAATGCACAAACACAGTTGCATTCTGGTGCATTTCAGTCAACAGGTGGCTAGAGTGTCTGAATAAAAATGAAAAATGGAGCATGCATTGTGTGGTGACTGAGGGAGGGCCGTTTCCCACTGAGGGAGGCGCCGCCCGTTTTCGGGGCTGGCTCCTGTGTGGAGCTGCCTGCCTGGGCTCCCGTACTTACAGAACGGCTTCCGCTGCTTCTTCTGCAAACACGACTTGACGTATCGCTCCAGCTCCCGCAGTGTGGTGGGCTTCAATGTTTCAAAATCTATCTCAATCTCGTCCGGGTTGGAGTCCCTGAGCGAAGGCTCCCGTGACTGGATGATGTGCACCACTCGGCCCAGCTTCTCCCCGGGCAGGCGGTTGATATCCAAGCTCAGCTGGCGCTTCTCATCGTAGGTCATGGGCAAGCCCTCCTCCTCCTCCTCAGAGTCATAGGCTGTGGAGGGCGGCCTCCCTGCCTTTTTTGGCTGCCTGGAAGCATTGGGGGGAAAGAGTGAAGAACTGGCAGCACGGCACTCCCTCCGGCCCTGCCCAGCCTTGCCAGCCATGGCCTGGTCACCTCTGCAGCCGGGGCTGGAGGGGGCTGCGCCCGGGTCATGGATGGCCCTCCTGGGCTTCCCCTCCCGAGCGAGCTGTCTCAACACAGGCACCTCACCTGCTTGCAGTGGTGGTGCTGTTTGCCTTTTTCACGGGCGCTTTCTTCTGCTGCGCCTGCTTTGCTGGCTGGGGGACCTTCGCTTTCTTCTCCTCCTCCGCTTTTGCCTTGTGCTTCTCCTTCTCCTTCTCCCGCTCCTTCTCCTTGTCTTTCTTCTTCTTCTCTTTCTCCTTCTTCTCCTTCTTCTTCTTTGGCTTGTTCACGGGAGCTTGTGACAGAGCAGCCAACTGTTCGTGGACAGCCTTGAGCTGGCAGGGGAGAGGAAAGAGGCAAAGCTAAGACAGTCACACACTCTGGCACCTACCCCTTGGAGGGGCCCATTCACACATTCAGCTGTGCACCTCTCCACCCGAGCCCTCGGCGCCTGGAGGACTCTGCCAAATACGCAAACAAACTCCACCGGAAATCACCTTGAGGCGGCTGGACATTCAGCCCCTGGAGCGTGACCCAGGCTAGCTCACTCTCACACGCCACTTCCCTGGATGCTGCAGTCTCCCAGCAACAATGCGTGTGTGAACCTGCCCACAGGGAGCAGATTGTGACTTCACCTCCCCCCTTGGGACTCGCTCACATTTGCACGAATGCCTACGCTGGGCAGTGGCCACCAATGCGCGATCGCCCCTCTGACACGGAAGAGCCAGGGCCGCGAACGAGCCTTTCCAGCCGATGGCTGCCTGCCCTGCCATCAAGACAAGAGGCTCTCCCTTTTCAGATGGCTGCAAGTGCGTGGATCTCCAGGAGATGCCCCTCCAGGCCCAGCAGCACCTGCTGGACGCAGTCCGAGGACCTCACACAAGGTGGCCACACAGGGGCTCTGTGTGGGTTGAGCCCTTACCTACACCTGCAGCAGAACATGAGGTTGCAATGGACCAGGCCCCTTCCAGCTAGCAGTGGGGAGGGTAGTGGCATGTATCAAATGGTGCTTCCCCCACAGTAAAGAGGGGCAGCATGTCATTAGAAGGCTAACACCTCAGGGTCACAGCATTCGCGGCTGTCACAGCTTTCCACTTGAAGGATCTCGCCCTCGTTTACATGTGGAAATTTGTTCTTTCCCCATTCTGCCGTCACTGAAAGGCCCTAAAACTCTTAAGAGCCATCCGATAAGGAACTCAGTTCTTCCTCGGATAAAATGGTGCCTTAGTTGGTGGCAATAAACCAACCTCAGGTGAGGTTCCTTGCTGAATTTTTGTGTGCTGAACTATTTTAAAGGCTCGGGAGTGACCACCTGAGAACCAGGTCCCCAGCATGTCAGGAGCACAGCTACCAAGAACATCAGAACAGGCACAGCAAGTGGGCAGACCTAAGCTCTCGTCTTCACTTCGTTATACAGCTCACTGGGTAGCTCCGAGTACCACATTATTGCCTGGCCTACGTCACAGAGTTTTCTAATGCTTCCATAGAGCCTGAAGTGCCTGATCCTGCCTAACCTTGGAAGCTGAGCAGGGTCAGGCCTGGTTAGAATCCGGATGGGAGACTTGAGTCCTGCACTGAGCAGAGGGTTGGACCCCGTGGCCTTTCAGGGCCCTTCCAGGATTGTGAGGCTGTGGCGCGGAATAACCCCGGAGGTGCCCGCCTCCACTGTCCCGAGAAAGGCCACCGTCTTCAGCTGGGGGTGGGCATCCTCACAAAGGAGTCTGTGTTGCAGGGCTCCTTTCCTCCTCCACCCCGCGGTCTGGCAGCACCCAGGAGTTCTGCCCCGGACTGGCAATTCATGCCTGGCCTTGGGTCACGCTGCGTCCCTGTGTCCCTCCACTTTTTACCGTACTGTGTTTTAAGGCTTATTCCAAGCACTAAAGATTGGCTGGGGCTGCACCTGAAACACAGAAGTGAGGAAGCAACGCAGAGCACAAACAGGGTGAAGCAAAGGCAAGGTGCAGAGAGAGGAGGGGAGGGGAGGGGAGGGGGAGCTGTCGCCTTTGCAATAAATCCAGTTTCTCTCCATAACCACGATGACTAGAAACTTGCCTGTTGGAAATGAAATGCTGGGATGCTCAGAAAACCTGGGGGGAGCAGGAGGCATCGCTCAGGAGGGCAAAGACCACATCTGCCTCAGTAGCACTATCAAAGGCAAGGCTGGGCAGCAGCCGGGGGCCTTGGCCACACACGCTGGGGGCAGATCCCAGCTGGGCATTCAAGTTATCATCATCAAGTGGTTACAGAGCTTGTGAGAGGTGTGAGGCATGGCATGTGGGTTAAAAGTGACAACAAGGCCCTGCCCTCAGGAGCTTACAATCTGATTTTCTAGATTGTCAACAAGGTCTCGATAAAGAACCATCCTTGACTTAACAAATATGCAGAAGAGAACTTGTGAATACTGGGTCATCCAGACCTGCTCCGGGGTGCCTTTGGCCCATGGGCTCAATCCCCCCCACTCAGTCTCCCAGCCTGGCTTCTGGTGCCTCCTGAGTTCCTCTGGGGGGCAGGGGATCGACTCCCCAAGCCCCCTCTGCCTAGAGGAATCCTCCTGGAGCAATCCTCACAAGGTCTGGTCTAAAACATCTGGCCTGCAAGGTGGTGGTGGGGCAAACTGGTGCTGCTATAAGAATGTCCTGTTCCAGATGAACCTAACTGAGGTGGCACTGACAGCGTGTGTGCCAGGGAGGGCCCCTGCCACCCCCCCGCCCCCCAGAAACTGTGGCCAAGGAAGAGTCTGCGACAGGCCCCAAGTCCTTGCAGATGACACCAATTCTTCCCTGCAGCCCACACAGCTCTGTCAGTCCCACTCATTACCCAGCCCACCGGGGGGGGGGGGGCAGTCCTGAGGCATCCCACCCCCTCCCCTTGTTTCCCAAGCAGGGCAATGAGAAAGGCAGGCATGCCAGTCTCCACGCGTGAGTGGCCAGACTGACCAGGAGGAGGAGGTCAGGCCAAGCAGCCCAAACTCAGGGGAAGTGGCATCCCCCCGAAATTCCTTCTCCAGGACAGCCAAGGGAACAGGACTGCTCCCACTCTTCGGGCTGTGGCCACTCTCCCCCATGCCCCTCCTCTCTCTCCTCTTTTCCTCAGGTGAGGTCTAATAAGGTGGCTTTGCCCCATAGGCCACCCCGACATAGAGAGCCCAGGGGGCTCTGTGGCTTATGCTACAGAACGCCATGTAAGCAGTTACCAATAAGGAAAATCAACATGAAATTAACAAATAAAAAGAATCAAATACATTCCATCCATTCCAGTCTCGGGTGTCATTGACCGTGTAGCACTGCCTCAAAAATCGGGGACGTTCCTGTGTGAAAAAGAGCATAGGCAGGGAAGCAAACAGTGTGTCCACGCTGCGGTTCCAGGTGGCGGGGAAGGGGAAAGGGCAGGGGTCTCCCTCGGGAGCACGAGAATCCCTCCCTCTCGCCATCACCTCCTGTGCTGAAGGGCCTCGTTTCTAGCCCCCGTGGCTGTCCCGGGTGCACACCAGTATGAGGGGCGGGAGCACTCTGCTCTTCCATGCCATCCAGCCTGACCAAGCAGCGCCCTCCAGGGATGCAGTGCCTGTCCTCCAAGGCACTCGGCTCAGGATCCAAGCTCCTGCTCAAGGCCCCCCATCAACCGAAACTGAGCAGGGTTTCTGGGGTGCTGCCAGCACTGCAGAATGCCCCCCACCAGGCTGGAGGCCACCAGAGCCAGGCAAACCACATACTCGGAAGAAGCAGAACTGGTACACACGGGGTTCTTGTTGGATGCTGGACTTTTCAGGTGAGGCTGCGTGTGCAAGATCACGACTCATTTCCCTTCCACTAATTGCCTATCAATTATGTACTCTGTGGATTTCCCACCTTATTATTCTAATTATTTTAATGTCTTTATGACTATGTAAGTCAGCCACACTGTGTTTACTTAAGACTAAGAAGCAAAACATGTTCTTAAAAATCACAAATGAATCCACATAGCCAACTCGTTTCCATTTTGCAGGTGGCCAGCTGAGGGCTTCAGGACTTGCCCCGTGTTGTGGAATGAACCTCTTGCAAGTGTGGGACAAGGGAAATTTCCCAGTCCCACATCCGCCACCTAGTTCAGCCTTCCTCCCATGGAAAGCCCTTGAGAGAGGCTGGACTACAGCTTCTGACCAGCCCTCTGTGGCCTGAGTCCACTGAAGGGCATCCTAGTGGGGGAACCCCACAGCCCATCGGGCTTCCCAGATTTCCAACTGAATCTGTGTTGCTGCACTTTCTAAGCTGCATTGTTCTTACATACAAGCTCTCCTGCATAGAGTAATGGATTGATCGTATGATCTTATTCATCTTCAAGCCTGCTTTTATAATCAAAAAGTAGGCAACAGAATATAACGAGAAAGGGGCATTGTAGGGCAGGGCAACTGGTGGTGAGCGGGCTCATCCTCACCTGCTCCTGGAGCTCCGCCAGCCGCGTGGCCCGCTCCTCCTCCGAGTCCGAGCTGTCTGAATCGGATGAGCTCTCTTCACTGCTGTGGCTGCTCTCTGTGCTTTTGCTCACGACCGGCGCTGCTGGCGGCGGCGGCAGGGGTGGCTCCGCTGGATCGTCTGGCATCTTGGCAAACCGCATCTCAAAGACATCCTGCAACAGGAGGACGGAGGTCTGGAGAAGAGGTTGGGAGAAGGAAGACTCCCTTCCCCTCAAGCAGTCAGCTGGTGCGCCTCCCTCTGTGAAGGCACCTCCCACCTTCTGAGGCCTGTGGCAGACTCCCTCTTCCCTGAAGTAAATCTAGAAGTGCACTTTGCTCCAACACTCAAGGATCTGGTGCAGACAGCTGTTCTCACATCAGCGCCTGATTTGCGAATTAAATGCAACCATGCAGGTATCACCCCTCTGCAGAATGTGTTCTGCTTGCAGCTTGTCACTAATGCCGTTCTCACCGAAGCCTTCGAGGCACGCAGAAGACCGGGGTGGGGAAGTGCAGGCCTGAGGGCTGTGCCTGCCTCCACTAGGCTTGTCTGCCAGCTCCTCAGCAGGTTGCTGACTCTTGTGCAATCCCCAACAGACACTGCAAAAGGCTGAATAGGGTGGCACTTTGGCCCACCCCCTTTGCCTTTGCTCCCATCCACCACCAAATTCAAGAGCTTTTCCACGGAAGAGAGATTCAGCATCCTTGAAACAGGCAAAGGTCTTATGAAGCCACTTCCCAAAGAAGCATCGACAGAGGCACCAAGGATCTGTGTGTGGAAAGGCTGGAGAGAACAGCGCTGCTATTCTTGCATCTTTAAGGCAAAACAGCTCGCAGCCTCGTCAGCCCCAAGCTCCTGCAAGTGATTTTCCCAGGCAGTAGAACCAGGGTGGTGCTTTCTCTGCAGTTCCACAGGAGGGCAGAGAAGGAGTTGCCAGCAACATCCTGCATATATTTCAGCTTCCCAAGGAACTGCCACTTCTGTTCCAGTATTGAGACACTCACAGTGGCCTGGTTCACATCATACATACCAGAACCTGAGCTCTCACTGAAGCACTGGCTGCTGTGTTGCATGAACCCATTGGGCTAGCAAACCCTGGTTTGTTAGCCATGAACAAGACACAGTTCACAACCCAGCAACAAATCCTGGGTTCTTTGTGGGTTGTTAATACAGCCAAGTTCACACAACACAGTAACCTGCACTTCAACCCAAATTCTGCCTTGTCATCAGTGTGACCCACTTGGTCTGTTTCTGGCACTTATGGCCACGCTTAGAGGCACTTCTCACAATTACTCACCAGTGATGATGCAAGCACTGGCCACTAGAGTTTATAGGGCCAACTGGCCGGCCCCTGCATTGCGGGCCTAAAAGATGTCTAGAAATGTGGCAGTCATGCTGCCTGAAGAGAGAGGAATCCAAGGTCAATGGAGAATGATTTCGGTGGGCAACACAGGAGGCCTCTGTTTTCCATGCAGCTCTTTTGCTGCAACCGGGGCTAACACAACCAGAAACTGACACAGGGATGGGGGAGCAGCAAATGTGGTGGGAAGAAATTATGCATAAAGAAGGGAAATCATGCAGACTTGCTCACTTTGCATAATTAATACCAGTTGCAGAATCCTTTTTCTTTCTTTCTTTTTCTTTTCCTGGTGCAGAAGTTGGAATGCCTGGTAAGGGTTTTTGAATTGTAGATATATATGTGAAATAAAAGCCAAACCAAGCATGCTTCAGTGTCCCCAAAATTCCTCATGAGCCAGCCCAAAACTGTGGTCTGCATACATTTTGAGAGACCCAGTCTTCTAGATCCAACCACAAGATACTTTCAACTGAGCACAGAATGAGCATGCTTAGAGGGACAACAAGGTCTTGCAACACCCATCATTATACAGCAACCAAATTCTGGAAGTTAAAGCACTTCCTTCCATCTAACCATGCATCAGATTGCACCCTTGATGGGTTCCGAGGACTGGGCATGTGTCTCCTTCCAGAGAGGATGCATCTGCTGCTTGTCTGAATGGGAAACCCCAGAACAGTCCTACAACAGAGACACGGCAGGCCTTGGCAGAGCTCCCCACTCTGGGCAGGCTTCCTTTCCAACCCAACCAGCCTTTAAGCTAATGGTTATCCATGCACCTTTCCGTCTGAAATCGGCAGCAACTTGGGCAGTCGCACCACCACACTGGGGCCTCCAACACTGGGGCCGGGTGCACCGTCCACACACTGCTCTCCATGCCTGCGAGGACCGCTCCCCTGCCTGGTTTTGATTTCATCTCTTCATTTAAAAAAATGGCTAGGCTGTGAGGCAAAGGGCTCCCATAATCCAGAACCACCTTTCTTTGCATTCAAAGAACCCAAACGTTTGGGCTCGATGCTCAGACCGCCCACCCCACCTGGGCCACTGAATTCGGCGCTTGGACAAGGATTTTTTCTAGGAAATGAGTGCTCTGTGACTGGCCACATCCACCAGGGCTGCCATTATTTCAACAGGCAAGCTCCACCTTCACAGATAGCAGCCATCTTGTAAGAGTTCCCACAACACTCCTGAACAATTCCGAGGTCAATGCATGGCCAAGCCAACAAAGCCTCTCCACAAGCCATACTCATCTTTTTGCCCATTACTGTGATGCATGGCCTGACAATTTAATTTGGGGGGACTGAGGAAAGGAAAGCATGCGTCTGTGTGAATTAATGTTCATCAATTTCATTCATTTAGGTACAGTACATCTACTTGGAAGTGTGCATCTTTACAGAAAAGTTACATTAGGCTGTTCTTCATTTCTCAACTTTTGCATGCTATTATCCTGAGCTGGACAAGCCGACGCTCGGGGGCCACACTTGGCTCTTTGAATTCACTCTGCAGCTTGCCACTGCGGGTGCCCAGGAGCACTGCCACGCTGCTCGCCCTCGCCACTGCTGCCTGCCTGCGGCTCCCAGACTTCTAACTCCCGCCTGTGTGGCAGGCTGGGCCGAGAGACGGTGACTGGCCCAAGTCACTCAGGGAGCTCCACTGCCAAGTGGGGACTAGAAGCTGGATTGCCTCCGTCCCAGTCCAGCAGTCTAACCATGGCTTCACGCCAGCTTTTATGAGGAGTGCCCTGGCTTGCTTTGCTCACAGCCACGCTTACCTGAAGTTTTCTGGCCATGGCAACCACTTCATGATCAGGAGGGTTGTACTTGTAACAATTTGAGAACATTAATCGAATATCTGCTGCAAAACTCTGGGCATCCTGATATTCTCGGCCATCCATTTTTTTCTGCAAAACACAGGAGGCCAAAGAGGTGGGAGAAGCGTGGAAGAATGCAGGGGAGGATGGGGGAGGACAGGGAAAAGTCTGTAAGTGATGTGTAAGTCTAATACAACAGAGGGATGCCACAAATAAATGTTTAAACAATTTTATATCATGGTGCATTCAAAGTGCAATTCTATGCCTGTTTAGACAGAAGAATGCCTTATGACTCCTGGCAGCCCCGAGGGAGCATGTAGGACTTTCTCCCTTATCTAGACATGCATAGAATTGTATCCGTAAAGTTTCTTAATCTCCTTGTTAAACTGTGTATGCGTAAGTTTTTTCCAGCATTGTCAGTGATCTATAAACCTATGGAATGAATGAAACAATAAAATAAAATAAAATCCAATGGGATAATTACCAAAACCACTTCTGAAATTGCTGGGGCTCTGCAGCTGCAGCCCACCCGATGTGCAGAAGGAAACCATGGCCAGGCTGCCCAGGATGCTGACAGCGGCACCCTAACACATCTGGACAGCACTGCCTGGAGAAGGCGGTGTTCTGGAGGCACAGGAGGCGGCCAGAAGAGTGTTGGCTCTGCAGTTCAGACGTTCCCAGTGCCAAGAAAAACTAGCACTGACTGGGCCTGACATTTACAGACCAGAATGTCACTCTTCTGTGAGTAGTCCTGGCCAAACAAGGCACACAAGGGTCTGCCCCTTTTGCCCTCTCGGCTGCCCCCATCACACTCCCTCCCCCAGCACTGCTTAGCCATGCAGAAGTTCCTCCTTTAAGCTATGATGGCCATTTTGTTATTCCCATCAGTAGCTCGCTTTTTCCTCTTACAAAGAACCCAAGGGGGATTCCATGACCCTCTTGCTTGCGATTTTATCCTTACAGCAATCCTGCAAGGTGGGCAAGTCTGAAATTCTGTGACTAGGCCAAAGCTACCCAGTGGGTCTCACGGCTGCACGGCAACTAGAACCTGGCTCCGGTGAGTCCCACTCCAACGCTGCAGTCACTAGGCCGTGCTGACTTCCCACACTATGAATGGCGAAGACCTGATATCCAGGACAGCCCTCTCTTTCAGTCTGTCAGTGTTTCATGAGGAATCCCACCAAGCAAGGACAAGGGAAAACATCACCCCCTTGCGAGTCTGTGTGGAACTACCACCCTTCATCATCTTCACGCTGCGCTTGTACAGGTGCAGCCAAAGACTGCTTGCCTTTTCTGCAGCCGCATCACGCTAGTGCCTGCTGTCCAGCGTGTGAACGACTGCAGCACTGAGACCCCGTCAGGCCAATGGTCAGCCTCTTCCACGCCAGCTGGCAACCTCTTGCTGGACCCACCTCTCCCGCCCCACCGAGCAACAGCAGCGCGCCCAGTCCCTGCTGCAGAAGAGGCCAAGTCTACCTTCACAGTGCTGAGATCCATGGGGTGTTTGATGATGTCGTGATAGTCGTGCAGCTCCAGGGCCTCTGCATCGACAGGCTTGTAAAAGGGCCAGGCATAGGCGGCGTGCTTCTTGGACAGCATCTCCCGGAGGATGCTGTCACAGTACTTGAGGTGCTCTGAAAGCTTTCCCTTCTTGCCCGCGTGCTGGGGGACCTCACCGTCCTCCAGGTCCTTCCGGGGGGGCTTGATGGGTCGGCCGCCACTCTCCCGCCGGGCCACCACTTTGGCCTGCTTGGAGTCCGACAACGGGGTGGGAGACTCGCTCCGGCTGGCTGTGATGGCTGACGTGGTGGGCGTGGTCGTATCTGCTTTCCGCTTCACCCCCTTTTTCTGGAACAGAAAACATGGCACACGTGAGAGCAGGGACTGCCAGGGGGCGTGCCGGGAGTGGGGCATGCTTGCTTTCAGCTGAGGAGCAAGCCCAGGAAACACAGAAACAGAGCAAGTCAGAAGGGGCCTGCTGGGCCATCTAGTCTGATCCACTCATGACACGCCTACCACATGCATGCCCAGCCTATCCTTCAACACCCTCAGTGATGGGGCTTCAACCACCTTCAGCCATCCCAGTGATTCCCCACTAGAAATAACCTTCTGCGTTTGGTCCGTCAGCCAGGCCCTAATCCACTGGCCATGCATCAGTCTATCTCAAAACTCCTCAATTTCTCAACCAGGATATCATGGGGAACTTTGTCAAAGGCCTTGCTGAAATCCAGGTAAACCACATCCACTGCATCCCCCCACCCCCAAGCTACCTCAAAACCTTGTCATAGAATTCCACAAGGTTTGTCTGGCAGGACCCATTCTTGTGGAAACCATGTTGCGTGGCCACCGACCTCCCTTCCCTATCTAGGGACTCCAGAGCGTTTCCTATTATGATTCTTTCCATTGACTTTCCCAAAATGGACATAAGACTAACTGGCCTGTCATTCCCTATGTCCCCTCTGCTATCCTTTGGGAGAATGGGACCCCTGATGGCACCCTCCAGTCCTCTGGAACTTCACCTGTTCTCCACCAGGCCTCAAAAATGGAGGCCAGCGGGCATTGCTTTTCAACATCTACATGAAACCGCTGGGAGAGGTCATCAGGAGGTGTGGGTGCGGAGTCATCAGTACGCTGATGATATCCAGCTCTACCTCTCGTTTTCCACCAACCCAGGTGAGGCACTGGCTGTGCTGAACCGGTGCCTGGCCAAGGTAATGGGCTGGATGAGGGCCAATAAAATGAAGCTCAATCCAGACAACACGGAGGTCCTGTTGGTGGGTGGTTTGGGCCTCGGGATGGGGGACTTGGGCCTTGTCCTAAATGGGGTTGCACTCCCTCTGAGGGACAGGGTTCGCAGCTTTGGAGTGCTCCTCAACCTTGAGCTGTCTCTAGAAGCTCAGGTGATGGCGGTGGCGAGGAGCGCCTTCCTTCAGCTTCGGCTGATCCATCAGCTGCGTTCCTTCCGGGAAAACGACTTCCTGGCGACAGTGACACACACATTGGTAACTTCCCAATTAGATTTCTGTAACAGGCTCTACGTGGGGCTGCCCTTGAAGATGGTCCAGATACTTCAGTTGGTGCAGAATAGAGCTGCCAGGCTGCTGACGGGGACTGGGCGTTGTTCTCATATAACCCCAGTTCTCCGTCAGCTCCATTAGCTCCTGATTGAAGTCCGGGCCCAATTCAAGGTGTTCGTTATGACCTATAAAGCCCTAAACGGCTTGGGACCTGGGTATCTAAAGGAACGCTTGCGTCCATATATGCCCTCCCGCCCCTTGAGATCAGCAACAGATGCCCTTCTCCGGGAACCCTCTGTGAATGATATTAGGAGGGTGAGTACCCAGAGGAGGACTTTCTCTGTGGTGGCACCCCATCTATGGAACGCGCTCCCTAAAGAGGTCTGCTTGGCGCCGGCGTTGTTTTTCGGTGCCAGGCTAAGACCTTTATATTTAAAACTCATTTTAATTGTTAATTTATTTGTATTTATAGGATTTTAAATCTTTTAAGCCGAGATGCACTGGATTTTAATTTTTACTTGTATAATTGTTATATTTATGTATTTTGCTTTTGTTGTGAGCCGCACCGAGGCTTAGTTGCGACGGGGGGGGGGGCATAAAAATGTTTTGAATGAATGAATGAATGAATGAGAGAACCCCTGTCAACTCTTGAAGTACTCTCGGGTGTAATGCATCAGGACCTGGCACCTTTGTAACATCCAGTGCCCCGAGGAGCCCCTCGACTTCTAGGGGAGTGACTCTAATCTGTGCCCCTAAATCCCCAGCTTCATCTGATCCCCTGTGCAGATCTCCCCCATCCTGCTTTGGGGAGAACACAGAGGCAAAATAATCATTTAGCATCTGTGCTTGTTCCCTCACATCAGTCACCGAATCCCCTTCCTCCTTATTAAGCAGTCCCACCGCCTGTCTCCCATTTCTCCTGCTATTTACATGTTGGTAGAATCCCTTTTAGTTGTTCCTGATATTCTTTGCAAGTTTCAGCTCATAATCAGCCTTAGCCTTGCAAGGAATCCTTCTGCAACGAGCCTCCTCCTCCCGGTGTACCCTTTTGTCTATTTGCCCCAGTATCCATTTCCTACAGAGGCGCCTCTCATGCCTAATGCCTCTTACTACTTCTCTTCTCATCCATGGGGGTGCTCTCCATCACCCCCCCACCTTGCTACCTAGTGGTATCATCAAGGCTTACGCCTCCCAAGACCTCTCTTTATAGCCCCATCCACCCCTCTTCTCCTTGCCTTCCAGGACCTTCTCCCAGGAGACTTTCCCCAGTTTGGTCTTTGGCAAGGAGAAAAAGCAGGGGAAAAGATACCAACTTTGGATCCTGGGAATCTTATTACCTTGACTATTGGCGGTGTTGGCGGTACAACTGGCATGATGAGAGCAGGTGGTGGCGGAGGCGCAGGCGCAGTGGCGGAGGGAGCAGCGATGGGGGTGACATTTGCAGTAATGGTTGGCACAGGCGTGACGGCAATGACAGGCGTCTGTGAGACCGAAGGGGGAACATTCTGGAAAGGAGCTGGTGGAGACACTGAAGACACAGCTGCCGTTGCTGGATGCTGGCCTCCTGTGGCTGGAAAGACGGAAAGACAGAAAGACAGACAGACAGACAGGCAGACAGACGGGGTTAAACTCAGACTGAAGTTCATTTCAGATCGCAAACTCCTTGAAAATGTGCCATCCGCAGCCCTGAACACAAACCAAAAAATGTGCATTTACTTTAAAAAATTAGAACAAGGCACTTTTGAAAAAATAGGTGTTTCCTTTTTTGAACTGATGGGAAAGAACAAGTTGCAAGTAAAATCAAGCTCTTAAGTGTGTTCCAAAAATGGATAGCAGAAGAAATTTAATCACTGAAGACTGGAAAAATAAGTTAGTTGACTGTGTAGCAATATAGATTATGTAGACTAACTAGATAACTAGAAAGATAACCAGGCAAAGAAATCAATAAGCAGAAATTGTATTACACACAACTTATTTTTAACGGGGATAACAACAATGGAAAAACATAGGTAAAAAGGGAATAGGACTTTTGAGAAAATCCAGATTAGAAGAATCTGCAATGGATTTAAGTTCTTAAAAAAAAGGAAAAAAACTGAGTAGAAAAGATAGCAATTCTTTATTTACAGTGACTTTTTTGAATACTTGACATTGTGTAATATTTGTTTAGAACCCTTGGTGTTTCTTTGTAATTTTAACTTTTATTCTTATTATTTTCTTTTGAAATTTTACTTTCTTAAAGTAACGCTGGTTCTGCCAGGCTCATGCAGCTTCATGGGATCAAAGCAGACTTTACTTTAAAGCTGTATTTAGAGGCCACCTCTTTCCCTCAACATTCCTGTAGGTGCGGGGTCCACAATCTGGATCTTTAAAACCCCTCAGTCACATCCCCTACTGGCATCTCCATCTAGACCATGTCCCCTAGCGTTCCTCTGGCCTGGGAATGGCAGAAGAGAAAGCCTCCAGGTACCTTGGACTTCACCCGCAAAGCAAAGGACTCACAAGTGGCAGGTGGAATTCAGCACACCCACCCAAGACCAAGGCAGGTCTGAGTCGCCAGAAGTGGGGCTGCAGGGTCACACGCAGCACAGCCTGCTATGCCTACCACCCCACCCCGCCCCCCCCTGTCAGCAGGACTCATCAGCCTGACTGGGACGGGCACATGGTTGTCCACGTAAAAGCTGCAGCCCCTGACCTGCATGGTGTGTGGCGGCTGCCATCTTCCGAGCCTTGCCTTTGGGCACTGGGGGCAGCAGCTCCACTTCCTCCTGGGGCATCTGGGCCACCTTCTGCAGAAAGATCTTCTCCAAGGCTTGGGCCATGAGGACAATGTCATCAGTCGGCTGGAGACAGCAGGATGGGGGTGGGGGGAGAAGGTGGGACTGAGTTGGGCCACATGGACACCAAGAACAAAACCTGAACCTAAGCACCATTTGCTAATCCTTTGGGAGACAGCTGCTCTGCCACCAAAATGTCTAAGAAAGGAAGGCAGATCTTTTGCACATGAGGTTTCCTGCAGAAAAGGAAACTGGGCCTACTAGCAGCCCAACCCACACCCCCACTCTCTAAACCATGGATAAGCTCAGTGGTTCTCCCCACCACATCCCTTTCTAAAAAGTTGAAATGCTTCTCCTAAGCCTTGGCTACCAGCAGTAAGAGATTTAAACTGGAATATCTGGCATTTGTCCCCAACCCTCTGCTACTGACTTTTCTCACTACAGGAATGCATCTTCTTCTTTTGAGCTTCTCCAAAACTGGATTTAACCCTGGGGCTGGAGAAAATGCCACCCTAGAAGTGAAGGTGTGCATTTCAGTAATGGGATGGATTCTTTACCTTGTTGTAAATGTAACAATTTGTGAACATGGTGTTGAAATCCTGCATGCATTCGCTGGCGCTCCAGTAGTAGCTATGCTCCAGCCGCTTCTTGATCGTCCCCATGTCCATTGGGTTTTTTATTATTTTGTGATAATCCTGTTCAGGGTGGAGAGAGAGAAAAAGTTGCTTTTACTGGAGTCCAGAAGTTCACTCCGCATCCTGTGCTGACAGCCACTGTGCCCCACGGATAATGCAACTGAAACATTTGGATGTGAGCTGGGAAGGAAGAAAAGGAGAAGCAGAAGTGCATAGGGAGAAAAGGTAGCCTGACACAGGGGATGCTTACACTCTCCCAGTCTGTAACATGGCTCTCTCCATACTTTTCCAGCGGCTCCTCCAGTCCCCTAAACATGCTGCACAGAGTTGGGATTCCCTGCTCGAAGTGCTGAGCCGTGCTCTGCGGGATGGGTGGACACCCTCCAGTACTGGTCAGGGTGACCTTCTGCAGTGGACACTGCCCTCTTGCAGACCCTGGATTCAAGCTGGGGCTGTGTAGGTCTGCATGGCAGGGCTGGAATATTCCCAAAAGTCTCCTTAGAGAGTAAACACTGCAACACCAGAGCCCTTGCACAGCATCAGGAGCCGTGGGGCAAAAGACCCCAGCTGTGTTGGCCGTAGCAAAACCAACAAGCCATGTGGCATCTTAGACCACGCACAGGCGTCCTGGGGAAAAAGGGGCTTCAAGGTGCTGCAGGGTCCTTTGCTGTGTTGACCTCTGGAACCGACCAAAGCAGGGTGCCAGTCTTCCCTGTTCTCCATGCCTCCAGCTGAGTCCCATCCAGCTGCAATCGCTTCGGTCTGTCCTCTTAAACTCAGGCTTCTGTGAGATGCTACCGGATTCCAACTCCCATTGGAACATCCGAATTGTCAGGGAAGATGGGGACTCAAGAGTCGGGCAGCACCCCCACCCTCGCCTTAGCCACAGCAATCCCACAGACACATAGCTGAGCAAAGGAGCTTTTGGGGTACAACCAAGGCAGCCCATCCAGTTCCAACTCCACCCCTCAACATGGGGTGGGGAAGCTGAGTATGAGTGCATTTACTGAATCTCTCGGTGGATGCAAAAAGATATTTTGAAACCGCCTGCAACAGACAATTTAAAAGTACAAAATATCCACACTTCACTCTTGAAAAGGGAATACAAAATTCCAAATTAAGTTAACCTCTGAAAACAAAACAGAAAACATGCTCAGCTCAAACGTTTACAATCAAAGAGCTGCTTACCAACAAAAATGGCTGCAGGCTGTCCAAGCAAGCAGTCCCTTTGCCCATGCTGTGGCTGACACCTCCTGCCTTCCAGGTGGGCACCCCGCAGAGAAGGGCTGCTCCTGGGCACCTGCCCAAGAGCACCCTGCGGGTCACAGGAGATGGGGAAGGCCTCCTCTGAGGAGCACAGCAGCTGAACGGCTCCGCACCAGTGACGGTGGTCCAGCTGCCAGCAGCCCAGGCTGTTGTGGGTGCTTTAGGCTAGCGACACAGCCTGGGCTGTTGCTAACAGACAGCCAGGGAGGAGGTGCCCTTACTTTATCACAACTGATAGTCAGAGACAACTTTCTCTGGAGGCTCTGTATGACAGGTATGGCTAGCAGCAGGGTGCAGATTTTGGCCTGGTTCATACATAACAGGATGAACTCACAGTATGGGTTGCTTAATTCTGGCTTGTCGTGATAGGTTAACCCACCCATGCTAACAAACCATGGTCAGTTAACAAACCACCTGAAAAGGGACCCCCGCAGTTTATTGTTGGATAGTTTAAAGCATGGGTGCTTGTTGCATGTGAATGCAGAACTTTGGGTTCCTCTTCCCAGCTACTGACATGGCAGGCAAGAACAGCTCAAGGAATGAGCTCCTCTGCATTAGCAGTACAACACTGCAGAGGCACTTAGGATACAGGGAGGGGGGCGGGTGAAGGACAAAGAAAGCAAACAACCCAGGGAACGGACTGGGAAACTAACCCTGGTTGGTTCAGTTATCTGCCAAACAAATACTGGGCAAGGCAAGAAACCGTGACCTGGCTCGCATGTAAAGACAAGGCAGCATACAGGTTAAGCATCGGTTATCACTGAATTGCTAGTTACGTGATATGTGGATCTTGTAACTGTGGCAATAATTTAATAGTTCAAAGACCAACAACACACCATGGATTGCTCTTTGGCTGTTTCTGTTGTTCCTAGATCTGGGGTGAGGCCTTGAACCAATGAAAAGGGCACCAGAAGACAACTGTATACATGGAGCTAGGTTGGCAGAAGTCCCATAGCTTCATGCCTAGACCATCTACAGGTGTTGCAGCTTATATGGTGCATGTGCTGGCCAAAAGAATGTGTTATCTCAGACCGAGAGAGGATGTTACCTCGAGAGTTGGGAGGCTCCCTAAAACATGTGACACTGGCTCCTGTCCATTGCTTCAACTTAGCTTAAAGAGGTAGAAGATAGTATATTGGCCATCAGGCTGATAAACTGACCTTCCAAACCAGGTGTTTAATGAGAATATCTTAGCCTCCAGGTGTTGCAGGCATGGAAGAGTATCACGGGCAATGAACCTCGACACAGACTTGAACCGTGGAGGTGCCGGGTGCTGGCTGTCTGCTGGGGTCTCTCTGTTGCTGCTCTTCTGGGGATCCCGGCAATAAAAAGGAGAACTGAACAGCTCTGCTCAACAATGCTGTATGTTGTGCCAGCCCTTTCACTTTGCCTGCTCACAGCAATTACTGTAATGTACTGTGTGACTCAGCTTTGTGAATGAACAGTCTGCACTTTGAAAGAATGAATGAAAGAACCACTGGCCTCCTGGCAAATGCACACTGATTCAAGGCCTATTGGAACATGCTCACCTGGTGACTGACCAGGGAAGCCCTGCCGGGATGATGTGCAAGGGTGATGGAAAAAAGGGGCCCAGAAAGGCCTCTAGCTGAATCCAGCCAGTGCACAGCCGGAACATTAAACCAGCAGAGGAGAAGGGAAGAGCCCTTGTGGTCCAGAAAGACCCGCAAGGAGTGTCAGTAGCAGTGTCTGGAACCCAAGTGGCCCCTGCTTGAGAAACAGCAGGGATCGCTGTGACAGGACCTCAGGAAGTGCAACTCACCGGTAGATTTAATTTTATGGCATCGACTGGCTGGTAGAAGGGCCAAGCGAACTGGTGCTTCCACAAAGTTTTCACCACCACATTCTGCATGTACTGCAGCTGATTGGTCTTTCTTCCAGGCTTGCTGGGGTTGGTGACCTCGGGGGGAGGTGGGTTGACCGGGCCTTGTGGAGCCGGGATGGCTGAAGTGATGGTGGACATTTTCCTTGCCTCTCCAGTTCACGTGCAGTCAAGGCAGTGGCAGGAACAGGAGCAGCGGCGGGCACTAGGAAAGGGCCAGTCTCTTTTACAGCCCACAAATGGGATGGGCATCCCATTTCCAGGGACCAGCCATGCAGCCTGGAGAGGAGGAGGAGGAGGGGAGGAAATATTTTCAATTTTTAGAACAGTGGAACAAGGGAAAACACACATGATACAGAGGACAAAGTATTTGATTACGATGAATCTCATGAGGTCAGAGTGTTGAACCAAGGGCCATGAGGAAAATCTGGCCCAGATCACACCCTCTGGGCACTCAACATGCAGCCCCATTCCCCCTTTCCAGACTGTTGTCTATTTGTTGGCTTTCCTGCTTATTTTGGCAGACATTTCTCCCATCTGATGAAGAGTGAAATGCATCTCCCAAGCCTTCCCTGCTGTTAGGAGGGACTGTAAGCAGTGACACCATGGGTACTTTTGGCATCTTGCTCTTATCCCTTCTGCCTCTGGTTCTGCCAACAACCACCCCTGCCCAGTGGCCCCTGGAAGTGCCTCCAAAATGGAATTCCACCCTTGGGCTGACAGAGCCTCAATACCCTTGACCACAATTTATGGCCCTCTTGGCAGGAGAGGGACCCTTCATCTACCATTTAAAGTGGTTTTTCCAAATTCTGATATTCACCTCTTTTTCCAAATTAACATGATTAGGGACACACTTTACAGGCAAAGGTGGTTTCTTAGCATTGCTGTAAACCACCCTGAGAGTTCTGGCAACTGGGTAGCACAGAAATGAAATTAATATTATTCCTGAATTCAGCCCAGGGACAGAGAAGACGTGACCCCCGAAAGAGTGTTAGGCAGCAACTGCCATCATCCCTTACCAGAGGCAAAACTGCTGTGGCTGATGCACAGCAACACCTCAGAAGGTCACATCTGCCCTGCTTCAGCTCTAAACTAAGGCAGCCTTTCCCCCAATTTGGCATCCTCCAGGCAGTTTGGACCACAGTTCCCATAATCTCCAAACAGCCCTGCAGAGGACCATGCGGAGAAGCAATGGGCAGCCTTCTGGGCTCTGGTTGTGTAAGTTCATTTCTGCTACAGCTGGGAACGTGCCCCAAATGGGAGACCTGTTTAGATGAGAACAGCCTGAATCTCCAAGAAGGACAAGAAATGGTATAAGGGCAGCACATGGCTCACCAGGCCTTGCAAGGTAACCAGGAGAGATATTTTGTGATATAGACCTGGGGCTGCAATGCTCAAGAAGAGTAGTGAACTAGCAGTTGCTCTGTGAGCCCTCAAAGTCTTTCTTTAAGGCAAAAGGTTTATCACTTTTATATTATTGATATTAGCATATCTTAACCTCCACAAGGAGTGTTGAATCTCCTTCAGCCCAAGGGATAAATCCCACAAGTAGGTGGGGCTGAACTGGCAAAAATACTGGCATTTTAGTAAAAAGCTTTGCCTTCCAGTAACTTAAGAAAAGCATTGCAACCTTTTAGAACTGGGGCACAAACACATAAACCAGAAAGCCACCTGAAGGTTGGGAAAAAGGGGCTCAGGCAGGGGCCTGAGACCTCACATCCCTGGTGTTAAGTTGTTGGGAGCCCGCACTCTTCTCCCATCGGTGACCAAGCAAATGCTTCCAGGAGGCCCAGAATCGAGGGACCCTGCCTTGGCTGCTTGAAAAACAGGAGCTGGCTCTGATGCAAGAGGGCCCCATCTTTACTTCCAATGAGACATGATTTCCACTGATGTAACAGCATCAAAACAAAAGCATCTAGGGTAGCGACTTATGGTGATTATCACACTTGTGGGGACCAGGAAAACTGGACTGAACAGTTTTCCTGGTCCCCACAAGTGACCAGGGATTCCACACAGGCTTGCTAGTACAAAGCAGGGATGCAGAACCTCAGGACTATACTCTGCTGTTCTACAAACTCAGATGGCACAGCCCCTTCCATGGAATTACTGATTGCCTCCTTGACTTTTATACCCCTGCCCCCCTCCCCATTCCAATAGGCTGAAATAACTAAATAAATGCTGTTAGCCGTCCAGAGGCGTTAGTAATTGGACGGCATACAAATTTCATAAATAAATAAATAAATAAATAAATAAATAAATAGCATGCCTCTTCAAGGGCTTGGGAACTAGGAATTAAAAGCCCAATATCTAGGTGCCTAGGTCCTTAACCACCCCTTTGAGCTTCACCAAAGGCACCGCTGGAATGTGTGCTCCCCAGAGCTTCTCCAAAGGGTATACAGTCCATGGAGGAGAAAAGGCCCAGCATACCATTCTGACCACTACACTGCAGCACTCTGGCTCCAACCTCTCTCACCAGTGCCTGCATGCCCATGTTCCAGCTGCCGAATCCACCCCCCCCCCCCCTTTGCCTGTGACATCCCCAGCGGAGATGGGCAGAACACCCGATTAACTTGCCCAAGTGACAACTGTGGCTCCGCCAAGCACAAGAACCAATTAACCATTAGCCAAGTATCTCTGTGGCGGCCACGAAAGCACCACAGAAATGCCAACTTTTCCTCCTACAGCTGGAACACAGAAGCAGAGTTCCTTTCCTCCTCTGTTGCCTTTGGAAGTAAATTCCTTCATCCACCAATTCCACTGGGTGACCTGACCCCAGGGTCCCCTACCTCTCCACACCAGACCTAGCCTCAGTGAGGGTTGGCTGGGCTTCCTTCTAAACTGCTGCAGCTGCGCTGGCACCACATGGGCCCTGGGAGTCGAGTCCTGGGTAGTCACACTCTAGGTGGAAAGCCAGAGAGTTTCCCCCTGATGCTCCAAGGAATACAAGTGAGTTTTGTAAAAACTTACAACTGTGACTTAAGCCACCAAAAGGGCAACCCCAAGTAATAGGTTGCTCACTTTCACATCAGTAATGCACAAGATTAACTTTCCATTCTCATTTAAACCCACATAGCACAGTATGGACTGTGGAACAACTTTACAATTACTAAACATAAATGAAGAGACTAAAATGTTTGTAAATGAAACCCACAGGCTACTTGTACAGGACTTGGCAAAAAGGAATCTCTGAGGAGCCCCAAATAAGAGCTCCTCCCAGCGAAGGAGTCCAAGAGGCCACTGCAGGCACAGACCCACTGAGCCCCTGCACGGCTTTCAAGGACGGCAGGCAAGTGACCCACAGCAGCCTGGGGACAGCCCTCATCTCACTATCTGTACCTGTATGCTGCCAGGAGCAGGTGCTAGATACCATTGCAGGCAGGAGATTCTGCCAAATGGATCCTGACCTGATCCAGCACAGTGGCAGCTCTCTAAGCAGTCCCACATGACTCTGAGGCCAACAGTCAGAGATCCATTTGGAAACCACCAAGAACAGGGTTTTAGTGTGTTAGGGCCTACCCTAAGGAGCTGAGGTCAGGTGTGGCTCAGTGTTCACTTTCAGCACTTGCTGAAAACACTGCTTTTCAGCTAGATTTTCCAGATGGGTGACTGAATTCCAGGCCCTGTTTTAACAACAACCCTGTTTATACTGCCAGGTTTTTAAAAATCTGTTGTACGCTACTCTAACGAAATGAAATGAAAGTGGAAATGAAGGTGTCCAGTAACTTCCAATCTTTTGTGGCCTCTTTACTCACCCCCCGACAGCTGGGGATTTCTTCCACAAGCATCACAGCACTCTCCTTGCAAGAGGAGCATGAGGGAGCCATCCAGGTTCACAGCACGTGCTTCTCAAATTCTGAGGCCAGTTTTTGCTATTATTGAATCACAGTTTGGGGATCCAGCACATGGGGAAATGGCTAGCAAATATGCCAATAGTTGTTGCCAAGTCATCAGAGCAAAGGGCCGCTGTGACAGAGTCCCTAAGATTGGACCAGATAATGAAGCATTGCCATGATCAAAACCAGCACACCTGCCAAAGAATACATGAAAATACGTATCTGCCTACAATGCAGAAAGGCCCTGTTCTACTTCCAGAAACATTTGATAACTACTTGCATGCTTCACTCGCACAGAAAACACTGAAGCAGTTATTTATATTAAAATAATTTACACACACCTTTTCAGAGGAAAGCCTTCCCAGGATTGCTCATGCACCAGAATTAATCATGCAAAGCGGTATTAGAAATACACAATCTGACTGTGAAAACTATAAAATGAAAAAGCAGCACATTTGTTCCAGATTTAGTAGAGCTACTGAAATCAATGTGATGAGTGATTTAACCCTAATTTCAGAGACACTACAGTAAACCATGACTAAACTGGAACCAACCTCTAAGCAGTTTAAAAACCATCTCAAAACATTTATAATAAACAAAGCAGATTGAGGGTGCAATCTTATGCATGGTTAGACAAAAAAATAAAATAAAATAAAAATCCTGTAACACCCAGCATTCCCAGCCAGCCAAAGAACTGTTGGATTCCTTCTCCAGTTACCACATGCATAGCATTGAACCCTGAAAGTGTTAAACTTCAGATTTTTGAAATTCAGTGTATGACAGCAAAAATGATGAGAACCAGCACCAACTTCAGGCACTGAAATAACTTAGGCGGCTTACAGGCAAGCAACACAGTGAGCACCAAATTCCACAAGCACTCATGAACCATAAAATAAGCTGTGAGCTGTTTGAGTCATAGTATACAGAAAGTGGCACAGGTAAGGTTTCTCCTGACATGGAGATAAAAGTGACAGCAGCCATTGCTCTGAACAGGTCCCTGATGTACTCGAGACAAGAGGTGTCAGGAGAACAACAGATGCAAGGGCGTTCCTGGTAGAAGGCACTGGATCAGTTCTGGTCCCCAACATGCCCCACCAGGTCCAAGGACACATTCTCCCTAGAAAACTGTGGTTACATCCATCACCTCCTTCACAACCGCCATGTGGCTTCATCCATGCTGACTGAGGGCGGCACCCCACTGCGCCTTCCAGGTGACTGGGACTCCGAGTCCCAGGTGGCATGGCCACGGGTTCTAAAAGCAGGGTCAAACGCTGTGCTAGAGAATGGCTGCATTTACACAGATGCTACTGCTCTGTCAGGCTGCAGGATCATTTAAAGGGTTGATGCATGCCCTCACCTAGCCTTCTATGGACGCCGCAGCATCAGTCTGGATGAACAGGCAGCGCTTCTGTGCCAAAGCAGAGCACCACCTTATTGGGAGCAAGGGCCACACAGCACCAGGGGGACGCCATTCTGGGGCAACATGAGGCGCAGAATGGGGCCATCACGCTTGGGCTCAGCCTTCACACCTGCAAGTATATTCATGCCACCAAAACACACAGCCTGGGCATCTCTTGCCAGTGAGAAAAGCTCTCCCAGGATTCAGGCAGGTCTCCCTTCTTTTCAGGGGAGCAGACTAGGGACAGTCTGGGTGCAAGGCAGCAGCTCTGCCATGGTGCCAGGCCTCTCGTCTCCGCACTGAGGCGGCGAACGATCCGGCCGCCGAACTGCCACCGCAAACATGCTGCGCCGCAGCACTCCGGGCGGCTCGCGGGGCCCCCGCAGACAGGCGGCCAACCGCTGGGCTGGAGGGGTTGCCCACGGGCCCGGTTCGGCCTCGGGGCGCTCACGACACTCTGGAGGCCCGGCCCAATTCGGCAAGGCGACCCCGCTCCTGGATCAAGCGGCCAGGCTCCTTCTTCAGGCCGGCGCCGTTCCGCCACGCTGAGCAGCGGCCGCGAGGAGAAGCCTGCGGAGGGCGGGAGGCCACAGCGACCACCTGCCCACAGCGCAGCCGCCAGCGGCCCGACCTCGAGGCGAAGCAGCGGCGGGCGGCCGCGGGAGCCCGCCGTGCCCAGAGATCCAAGCTCCGCAGCCGCGCCCTCGGAGACCGGCAGCAGGAGAGGCGGCGCCGGGAGCGGCTTCCTGAAGCGGCCGTGCTCGCCGGGGACTGCGCCACCCGCGCCGCGCCAGCAGAGCCGAGCCGAGCCGAGCCGAGGCCTGGCCGGCGGGCCACCGAGCGGGCCGGCCAGCAAACGAGCGAGCCGGCCCGGCGCCTTTGTGCGCGCGCCGAGGGGGAGGGGCGGCGGCGGCGCCCCCTCCCCTCAAAAGATGGCGGCAGGAGGGGAGGGGAGGAGCGCCCCCGCGCGCCGCCGCCCGGGCCGGCACTCCACGGGGGGGGGGCGAAGGGCCCCGGCCCGCGCGCCGTCCTTTGTTGCCGCGCGGGCGGCGGAGCGGGGCGGCGCTTCCCGGGGACGCGCCGCGTCGGGAAGCGGCCCCTGGGGGGGGGGCGCTATGTTGTGGCCGCCGCGCCGCCTCCTTCGCCGGCGCCGCTCGCCGCCCCTCCGGCCTGCGCGGTTCCGCGCCGCGCGCGCGTTTACCTGGGCCGGGCGGCCACCGCCGCCTCCTGCTGCCGCTGGCCGGTGCGCGCGCGGAGGGTCGGCCCAGTGCCCCCTCCCGGCCGCTGCTCCGGACCCCCTTCTGGATGCTCGCCCAGGCCAGGCGCACCGATGCGCTCGCGGGAGCGATGCGCAGCGCAGCGCACCGCTCATGCGCCCGGCGCGCGGCCCGCCGGGAAGGGTAGTCGGTGCGCCCGGCCGGGTTACGCAGCGCCGCCCCGAGCGGGACTACATCCCCCAGTCGCCAGCGCGCCCGCTTCCTATCCTCCCCCCCTTCATTTCTCCCGCCCTCACCGCTCACTCTTCGGATCGGCCAACGGGAGGGAGAGAAAGAGGGTCGCGCAGGCAAGTCCACAGTGCCCCTCCCGTTATGCCCCAACCACATGCTCAGGATCAGTGGCGAGCCCCCGCGGTAGCCAGGTTAGATATTGCTCCCGCGTAGACCCATCACATTTCGAGCCACTACTGAATACACAAAGTACCAACATTGCGGGAGGGGGCGGGTACCTGCCAGTTTTACGGAGGTGTGGGCGCCGCAGGAAGGGAAAGCTGAGTGTGAGAGTCAGAGAGAGATGCCCTTGGGTTATGCCTTACTCCAAAAGGCACAGGATAGCAACTCGGTGCTGGTCCCTTCTAGAGTCGACCCACTGAAATGAACAAGACTTGTCAGTCATGGCCAGCTTTGTTCCCTTTATGTTCTGGTTTGACTAACCGGATGCTACTGTAAGACTGCACTGCTATTCCCCCTTCCCTGAGAGGAAACACTACTGAACTTAATACCTTTTACTCCCAATACATGTAGGATTCGGCTGCAGGAACCATGACCTGGCACTGCACTGGCAGGCACGGCTTTCCCTACCTGCACCTTCCTTCCCTTTCCTTCCCTCCCCAGGGTAGCACCTATAGTCTCCTGCATTTGCTAAGGAGAGTCAGGAGACTTTGTTGCGTGGGGTGAGCTGTGGTGTGTGTGGACGGAGGGAGGATCCTCCAAAACTGGACAAGAGGTCTTCTTGAGGAAGGTAGAGCCAAGTTACAGCCCATAATGTGAAGAAGGTATCCCACGATACTGCATAGTCTCCTTCAACCCATCCCAAGAGCAGCACACAAGAATTGGGGCATAATTCATGCCTAATGCATGGGGGGGAAAAAAGCACATCATCGCTGGCTACTCCTTTCCCATATTGCCACTGTATAAACTCACCAGTTTCCCCACTGAGACAATGAAATGGAAGCTTTCCTGCAGGCCAGAACACCTTAGAAATCCCATACAACTCGATGAGGCCCACTCTGGACCCTTTGAAGTTTGCATCATGAAACAGTGGCCATTTTCTAATGTTTAGATTTCTATAGCACTCCTGAACTGTTCAAAGAACCTACATTGCTCCTGGGACCCTTCCTGTAGCCCAGCGAGATAAGGTGGTATTATATTTCATAAGGTATTATTATACATTTTATTTTGATACCATCAATTGCAGTTTGTTATGGCATTTCTGCAGGGCACAGAGCATTGAGGTCCTAGGAGCAACTCTGGTCAGCCAGAGAAATCTTTGCAGCTGTTGTGAACAAACGTCAGCCCAGGCTGCCTTTCTGCCACAAGTGGCAAAAATGGTTGCTTTGGCTTAATGATTAAAATTTGGATGATTAAGCAACTATAAATGGTTTCATTGGTAGCCTGGCTTAGGAGAGCAAGTTTATAGCTCTAAAGAAAAAAGAGTAATTGAGAAACTAAGAAAATATGTCAAAGAGTTTAAATAATAACAAAAAAAGTTTTCTTTTATACATATATACATTCACTCACTAAACACTGTGGAAGTTCACCCATACAAAAAAGGGCTACAAGCCCCAGCAATGGTGGTGGGGGCATGCTGGGTGTTGTATGCTTTCTGTCTGTCCAAACTTATTATTTTATTTATTATTTATTTATTTGGAATTTTTGTATGCCATCCCATTCGAATAAGCCTCGGGATGGCTTCCAACATCATAAATAAACAATCATACAGATAAATATATATAAAATCTGGATTCATCCTGGCTAAAAATTTAAAATGAATAAATAATATTAACAATTATTAAAATATCGTTTAAATAAAAAGGTCTTGGCCTGGCGCTGAAAAGCAAATAACGACGGCACCAGGCGGACCTCTCTGGGGAGTGCATTCCATAAGTGGGGTGCCACCGCAGAGAAGGCCCTCCTCTGGGTACTCACCCTCCTAATATCTTTCACGGAGGGTTCCCCAAGGAGGGCCTCTGCCACCGATCTCAAGGGGCGGGAGGGCAAATAAGGAAGCAGGTGTTCCTTTAGATATCCAGGTCCCAAGCCGTTAAGGGCTTTGTAGGTGATAACCAGCACCTTGAACTGAGCCCGGACTTCGATGGGGAGCCAGTGAAGCTGGTGGAGGACTTGGGTTATATGAGAATAATGCCCAGTCCCCGTCAGCAACCTGGCTGCTCTATTTTGCACCATCTGAAGTATCCGGACTGTCTTCAAGGGCAGCCCCACGTAGAGCGTGTTACAGAAGTCTAATCGGAAAGATACCAAACCATGTGTCACTGTCGCCAGGCAGTCATTCTCCAGGTAGGGACACAGCTGATGGATCAGCCTAAGCTGAAGGAAAGCACTCCTTGCCACTGCTGTCACCTGAGCTTCCAAAGACAGCTCTGGGTCGAGGAGCACTCCCAAGCTGCGAACCCTGTCCCTAAGAGGGAGTGCAACCCCGTTCAGGACAAGGTCCAGGTCCCCTACCCCAAAGCCTGAACCACCTACCAACAGGACCTCCGTCTTGTCTGGATTGAGCTTCAGTTTATTGGCCCTCATCCAGCCCATCACCTCGGCCAGGCAACGGTTCAGTACAGCTACTGCCTCACCTGGATTGGTTGAAAAAGAGAGGTAGAGCTGGGTATCATCAGCGTACTGATGTTTCCACAGCCCACACCTCCTGATGACCTCTCCCAGCGGTTTCATGTAGATGTTAAATAGCAAGGGGGACAAAATGGATCCCTGTGGAACTCCATGGCATAGCTGCCATGGCGCAGAGCCACAGTCCCCCAGCACCACCACCTGGAATCAGCCATTGAGATAGGAGCGGAACCACTGCCAAGCAGTGCCCCTAACTCCCAGACCCGCCAGCCTATCCAGAAGGATACTATGGTTGATGGTATCGAAAGCCGCTGAGAGGTCCAGGAGGACCAACGGGGACGCACGCTCCCTGTCTCTCTCCCTGCACAGGTCATCATACAGGGCGACCAAGGCAGATTCAGTACCATACCCGGGCACCGCTGGACGGCATTTTGAGGAGGCAATGGAAGCGGAGAAGAATTTCTTCTTCGCTGCCCTCACCGCCACAGCATAGGCTCGATACTGAGCTCACAAGTGTGTTCGATCAGATTCATCCCGTGATTTCCTCCACCTACACTCTAGATGTCTCCCAACCCGCTTCATCGCCCGTAGTTCAGGTGTATACCATTGGGATGAATGGGCTCTGCCAGGTGGGAGAGGACACTTAGGAGCGATCGTGTCAATAGCCCTGGTCATTTCCACATTCCACAGTTCGACCAGAGCATCGACAGGAGCAAACTTCCCCAGAGCCTTCAGGATTCCATCCGGATCCATCCGGCTCCAAGGGCGGACCAACACAATAGGGTCCGCACCCTTACAGAGGGAAAGGCCGTTATCGAG